GCCACAGAGTCTGTGCACTGTGCTGAGGTTCAGACTCAGACAGAAGAATTCAGCACTGATTCAAATCTGCTCTAGAAAACCACGCGCGCGTGTGTAATTTGACTGGTCAGTTATGTAATATTATCTCGTTTATATATTTATAAAATCGCCACACGTCGACCCAGCTTAAAATGGGTACCAGGATGTACGTCCCAGTAAAGACGACCGGCGTAATGCTGAGTACATTACCCACCTAGTGCCGAATGGTCTGTAAATATATGGGTGCTCTTCTAATGTGCCTGGTACTCCTAAAAGGAGTGAAAGGGGATCTTTACTTACTTTATTTATAAGACGGAACAACTATTCCGTAGAAATCTCTTGATCGGAACAGAATAACCCATATTTGCTTCATTCTAAATTGTGTCGGTTTGACGACAACTGTCGAGAGGCAGAGAGCAGATGCCAAGTTTACTACTTACATACAGGAAAAAGTACGGCTTGATTAGGGCGTATCTCCTGTAGGTTAGTCCACTTTACGAAACACTCAAATCAACATGAATGGTTGTTGACAACCAACTTCGAAGCACACACCTCTCTCATAGCACAGCACAGGAGTTTCCGTTACCTATTTTCTCTATGTAGGTCAAATACAGCTTAACAAGGATGGGGCACATGTCGTGCCCGCTGCTTTCTGGGCCATTGTTCATTGCGCAGTGTGAGCTTACCACCTGAATATTTGTGTCGAATCTACTGCATATAACGTGTCATCTGCGCACCGAAGATCAGCTGCAATGAATCACCAACAACTTCTGTGCAACGTCTTACAGCGCAGTTACTTTCTCCACATGTGTCGTTGTCTTCCTCTTTTGCACTTCGCAACCGACTTTGGTTTACGAGTTACCTAGTAACCGTTCGGCTAACCCAATGACTGATTGGCACCTTTCCGTCTTTCCAGACGATAGTGTTATATATTGCACTATGAGGAGGCTTGAGACTCCGCGACTAACAAGACCCGCCCGCGTTAAGAAAATTCTTTCACAATTATAGCATTTTGTTCTCACGAGTCCACCTCAGTACCTGTATCATTCATGTCCCGCTTGCAAACATCTTTATATCGTAGTAGAGTTCGACCTCGATATCTTTCACACATGATTAATTTACCATAGAGGATGTTCTTAGAGACTTTGCCATCCTCCAAGTGTCACCCAGCCACCAGAGCCTTCGTAGACTGAGCATTCAGAAAACTTATAATACCTGATCTTTCCAATACCTCAGCACTTGTGCCATAACATAACGGTGTCTTAAAACTGAATGGGATATCCAAGGGTTTGCTTCTATGGGATTCTCGCACAAATAGTGTCTCTTTGACTTGGAGTCACTGGGTGTAAGCTTTCAGGATGCAATCAAGTGTTTAAAAAAATGGGGGGGGGGGGGGGGGGGGGGATGTGGGGGGGGTGGGGGGGGGGGGGGGGTGATCTCTTTATGAATTAATTTCTTTTAAAACATCATTACTATTTTATCTGTCCACGGTGTTCTCATCATTCTTCTAGAAAATGTCTCTACATCTTCTACACAAATGTCTCGCTAACTAGCTGACTGTCCATGACTCACTTCTATACAAGATCAGCTCTATAAAGCTCTCAACAACTCTCTCTCTCTCACACTTCAGTTGACAAAGATATATTATACAGGATATTCTTCATCCTTCTAAATTCTGCTTTTGCTGGGAGAATTCAAACATTTCAATTTCTTTAATGCATCTTCCAACTGATGTTGTTAATGTACCCACATTCTTTTCTTTTAATTTAATGTTGTATTATTGCGAGTGGAGACATTGCATTTTTGGCTGTAATCACTATTACTTCTATTGTTCAGCTGTTTTAACGTTTTCTGGCTTCTTCTTTTGTCATCACATTGTTATTCGTTGTCCGCATCGATGTCCTAGCACATTGGCCAGCCATATCCGTTCTTCAGTACAGCAGTCATCTCCGTGTCTCCACGCTAAAAATACCCAGCAGGAGTTCACTGGTATCTCTTCTTTCTTTGCGCCATCACTGGTTTCTGACTATTTGTCCTTGTTCAATACCCATTTCCAACACGCAGTTCATCACTTCAATTGCCGACATTCATTAACTGGTGTCTGCGCAGAATTTAGGAAATTAAATGGTATGATAGAAAGACTAATGTAGAGCTTATGGAGAGAACTAAGCAAGCTCCAGTGGACCAGGAGGTGAGGAAAAGACGCTAGCGCTGGATAGGACACACATTAATAAAACCAGACAACAGCATAACTAGAATGTCTTTGCATTAAAACCCACATGGGCATAGGAATAAAGGAAGGCAAAAAAAAAAAAAAAAAAAAACCACACAGATAAGAGAGCTGTAGAATGAAGTCAGAAAGATGGAGAGGATACGGGGAGAGCTCCATGTAATCGCGAATAATGGCGTGAGTTGGTTGAGGGCCTATGGAATCACTAGGGGATAAAAAGGCAGAAAAAAAGAAGAAGTTCATCACCTGTTACCATGTTGTAGCCCAGTGTTGGAGTTTTCTGCATTTACCTGGTGAATCTCAGAGCTGTTTTAAGTAATATACTATATCGAGTCAGTACAAAACAAAACAGTTTCTATAGTCTCTTGGTCACACATCTCATGTCCACTCTTTATTTACACAGGACATCTTTCTGTTGAGCATTAATACCACACTTAGCCTAATCGTCAACGAAATACTGAAGTGTGCCTGGATAAACAAGCATTGTAGTATAATAGTTTTGTTCATTCAATCGTCAACATGCATGTTCAGCACTGAAGATAATCATCTGTGAGAGGTGAGAAACCAACAGTCTGCAAACAAATAAGCCAGACCTGTAAAATGGATGTGCATGCCAAGCTCAAGTCCTGGAAAAGGATTAGATTCCAGAGGTGGACGGACAACTAGAACTTTCCACTAGAGTTCACAGCTGATTAATGCAAAGAATAATGTTCTATACACATGGCTGTGGAGTCTGTTGTGTTCTATTCTCAATCTAAACATAATGGTCGGTTGCTTTTGTGTGAGAAGGCTGACTGGGTCTTTGGCATCGTATTGTGGGTGGAAAATTCCCAGCGGGTGGGCGCGGGGGGTTCTGGGGCCAATTTTGAGGAGGAAGAAAAGATCCACTGGCCCCCAACAAGCATGTTGTAAAAGCCAACTAATTAGGGCTGTTTCCTTGAAAGTCTGAGTGAGCTTGTAAAAGAGGCGAGGAACCAGCAGTCTGCATACAAATAAGCCAGATCTGTCAAATGGCTGTGCACACAAAACCACAGTTCTGGAAGTGGACAAACAACTAGAACTTTCCACAAGAGTTGACGGCCGGTGAACATGAAGAAAAAGAAGAAGGATGAGAAGTGTTGCCTTTAGCTGGGCTTGATTTTCCCCTTAAGTGCATTCTGGAACAATTGTATAATTCATGGAGGTGGGAGAAAAGACAAGGCTCAACCAGCCTTTGGGAGAAACCTTTCGGATGGGACTTTGTGAGAAAAGGCAAACAGATCACAGACGTGGTGATAGGAGCAACATTCTACCATAGGTCACAGCAGGCAGTGATAGGAGCAACATTCTGCCATAGGTCACAGCAGGTGGTGATGGGAGCAACATTCTGCCACAGGTCACAGCAGGCGGTGATAGGAGCAACATTCTGCCATAGGTCGCAGCAGGCGGTGATGGGAGCAACATTCTGCCATAGGTCACAGCAGGCAGTGATGGGAGCAACATTCTGCCATAAGTCACAGCAGGCGGTGATAGGAGCAACATTCTACCATAGGTGACAGCAGGCGGTGATGGGAGCAACATTCTGCCATAGGTGACAGCAGGCAGTGATGGGAGCAACATTCTGCCATAGGTGACAGCAGGCAGTGATGGGAGCAACATTCTGCCATAGGTGACAGCGGGCAGTGATGGGGGCAACATTCTGCCATAGGTGACAGCAGGCAGTGATGGGAGCAACATTCTGCCATAGGTCACAGCAGGCGGTGATGGGAGCAACATTCTGCCATAGGTCACAGCAGGCGGTGATGGGAGCAACATTCTGCCATAGGTCACAGCAGGCAGTGATGGGAGCAACATTCTGCCATAGGTGACAGCAGGCAGTGATGGGAGCAACATTCTGCCATAGGTGACAGCAGGCAGTGATGGGAGCAACATTCTGCCATAGGTCACAGCAGGCAGTGATGGGAGCAACATTCTGCCATAGGTGACAGCAGGCAGTGATGGGAGCAACATTCTGCCATAGGTCACAGCAGGCAGTGATAGGAGCAATATTCTGCCATAGGTCACAGCAGGCACTGATGGGAGCAACATTCTGCCATAGGTCACAGCAGGCAGTGATGGGAGCAACATTCTGCCATAGGTCACAGCAGGCAGTGATGGGAGCAATATTCTGCCATAGGTGACAGCAGGCAGTGATGGGAGCAACATTCTGCCATAGGTCACAGCAGGCAGTGATGGGAGCAACATTCTGCCATAGGTGACAGCAGGCAGTGATGGGAGCAACATTCTGCCATAGGTGACAGCAGGCAGTGATGGGAGCAACATTCTGCCATAGGTCACAGCAGGCAGTGATGGGAGCAACATTCTGCCATAGGTCACAGCAGGCAGTGATGGGAGCAACATTCTGCCATAGGTCACAGAAGGCGGTGATAAGAGCAACATTCTGCTATAGATCGCGGCAGGTGATGATAGGAGCAACATTTTGCCATAAGTTGCAGCAGGCGGTGATAAGGGCAACACCTGCTACATGAGGATGATGAACTAAGATTTTTATCAGTCTGCAAAGAAATATCATCTTTGTGGCCTCCAGTTTCTTCTAACTTCGTGATTCAATGTCCATGATTTACAGACATACACCAGTATGGGAAAATTACACCCATTTACAACGACAACGGGAAAACCACTGCATTATGAAACTCTAAACAAACAACAACAACAAAAAATTATCTGAAAGACGGTTATCACTGTGTTGAAGCCAACTACCTACGAAGGACTGTTAAAGAACAAGTTGTTTACAGTATCTCGGCTGCACACAGATGACCTCAGAGTCCTTCTCTATCAGAGCATGAAGCTGCCTCAGGTTGTTCTTCTCCATGTGTTTAAGCTCTGTCTCCAGCTGAAGCACACTGTCCTCTAGCCTGGAGATCTCAGATCTTACCTGAAGAGAAACAAACAACTTGCTGACACATACATCTTGTCTTCAGGCTGACAATCTCAACCCCATAGTCGTGAGAAGACCAAATCTAGCTATTTCTGGTTGTGACCCAGCCCAGTAAATGCCATTGGTTCTACATGCACCTGCACTGTGTTTGGGAGGTGAATATATTAACTAAATATAGCATTTAGAAGGGTTTCTTTGTGAACCAATAGCCTTTTAAAAGGCAGGCTGACTTAAAATTTCCCAATAAGCCATAGTAATGGAGGTCATGAGGTCAGGACATGAGTTACCCTATACATATTTGTTTTAGGCCTTGGGTAATGTACTCCATTTAATGCTTCACTCTGTTCCTGTTTATTCTCTTTATATATTTTGAATTTTTGTGTGTGGAAAAAACGTACAAAAATACATTCAAGTACTTGTACAAGAGTGAAGTCCAGGAGCAGATGAACAACCCAAAACTTTTTACTGGAGATCACATCTGGTAAACGCTAAGAGGTAGAAGAAAAAGCTTGCTAATAGATACTGTCTTTGGTGCAATAATCTTCACTTGAAGGGAAATGGCTAGTTCAGCAATATTCAAAAGACTACATGAACTTCAAGTCAAAAGAGGTGTTTTCAAATATTAACACTATACAGGTAGCCAAAGAAGAGTAGTAAACCAACACTGCACTGGTGTTATCAGTCGCCACATGTTGAGGGATATGCTGAAGATAGGATCTGAGTGCTTATGGACATGTCTGATGTGCAGTAAGGATAATCTGTTCACTAACTAACTAAACAGGGGTTAACAATGGATCAATCTGTCCACTAACTAACTAAACAGGGGTTAACAATGGATCAATCTGGCAACACAGCTGCTAGCAGTTTCAAAGAATGGGTTCTATAAATGTCAGCTGTACGTAGACTGGAACAAATCTGTAGGTAGGAAATGGGATTGGGGTTATTCTAAAGGATAATACAAATAATTATACTGACACCGATGTTTATCTTCTTCGTCTGATTCTCTAGTCCTGTTCTGCCTTTCAGCTTCAGGTTCTGAAAGGCTGTCGGGTGCAAACCTTGGTATATGCTAAGTAGATGCCAGTATTTATGGCTTTGGATATTCCATCTACTATCGCTCTCATGGTCGATCTGTAGTTCTTCTTTCATTTTGTTTAAGTCACAGGGCTCTCTGTGGTGCAGTATCTGGTGCTGTTATTGACACATGTCCAAACAATTTAATCTGTTAAATCTTGATGTAGTTTAGTACTGATTCTGTCCTAACTTCCTGCCTGAAATCGTCCTTTCTGATCCTGTCTCTTTTAGTTTATATTTAGGATTTGTCGTAGACATCTCATTTCTGTTGCATCAATTTTTCTTCTCTTTTGTTAGGCACTGAAATTTATGCACTTTTCTTTTTCAAACCTATTTCATACATTCTAACATATTCATACATATATACAGGGTGGTGCAGTGGCTAGATTCTCACTTGCCAGCCTGAAAGTCTTATGTTTCAGCACACATCAAGTCACACTTTTCTTTAAAAAAAATAAAAAAAACCTTGGCTCCCATGTTGATCCCGCATTAAAAGGTAAACTTCAGGAAAGTAAAGGCGGCCAGAGTGAGACTGATCACATCACACACTGATTGGTCTATAAACAGATGGCATGAAAATGTGTCCTTTACTTACTTTTACAGACAAACCGAACCTATGAGCACACAAGTACATACACCAACTTACCACACAAGAGCACTCACATATGAGCATACAAGTACATACACCAACTTACCACACAAGAGCACTCACATATGAGCACACAAGTACATACACCAACTTACCACACAAGAGCACTCACATATGAGCACACAAGTACATACACCAACTTACCACACAAGAGCACTCACATATGAGCACACAAGTACATACACCAACTTACCACACAAGAGCACTCACATATGAGCACACAAGTACATACACCAACTTACCACACAAGAGCACTCACATATGAGCACACAAGTACATACACACCGACTTACCACACAAGAGCACTCACATATGAGCACACAAGTACATAAACACCGACTTACCACACAAGAGCACTCACATATGAGCACACAAGTACATACACACCAACTTACCACACAAGAGCACTCACATATGAGCACACAAGTACATACACACCGACTTACCACACAAGAGCACTCACATATGAGCACACAAGTACATACACACTGACTTACCACACAAGAGCACTCACATATGAGCACACAAGTACATACACACCGACTTACCACACAAGAGCACTCACATATGAGCACACAAGTACATACACACCGACTTACCACACAAGAGCACTCACATATGAGCACACAAGTACATACACACCGACTTACCACACAAGAGCACTCACATATGAGCATACAAGTACATACACACCGACTTACCACACAAGAGCACTCACATATGAGCATACAAGTACATACACACCGACTTACCACACAAGAGCACTCACATATGAGCACACAATACAAGTACATACACCGACTTACCACACAAGAGCACTCACATATGAGCATACAAGTACATACACCGACTTACCACACAAGAGCACTCACATATGAGCATACAATACAAGTACATACACCGACTTACCACACAAGAGCACTCACATATGAGCATACAAGTACATACACCGACTTACCACACAAGAGCACTCACATATGAGCATACAATACAAGTACATACACCGACTTACCACACAAGAGCACTCACATATGAGCACACAAGTACATACACACCAACTTACCACACAAGAGCACTCACATATGAGCATACAATACAAGTACATACACCAACTTACCACACAAGAGCACTCACATATGAGCATACAAGTACATACACCGACTTACCACACAAGAGCACTCACCTATGAGCACACAATACAAGTACATACACCGACTTACCACACAAGAGCACTCACATATGAGCATACAAGTACATACACCGACTTACCACACAAGAGCACTCACATATGAGCATACAATACAAGTACATACACCGACTTACCACACAAGAGCACTCACATATGAGCATACAAGTACATACACCGACTTACCACACAAGAGCACTCACATATGAGCATACAATACAAGTACATACACCGACTTACCACACAAGAGCACTCACATATGAGCACACAAGTACATACACACCAACTTACCACACAAGAGCACTCACATATGAGCATACAATACAAGTACATACACCAACTTACCACACAAGAGCACTCACATATGAGCATACAAGTACATACACCGACTTACCACACAAGAGCACTCACCTATGAGCATACAATACAAGTACATACACCAACTTACCACACAAGAGCACTCACATATGAGCATACAAGTACATACACCGACTTACCACACAAGAGCACTCACCTATGAGCATACAATACAAGTACATACACCAACTTACCACACAAGAGCACTCACCTATGAGCATACAATACAAGTACATACACCGACTTACCACACAAGAGCACTCACATATGAGCATACAAGTACATACACCAACTTACCACACAAGAGCACTCACATATGAGCACACAAGTACATACACCCCGACTTACCACACAAGAGCACTCACATATGAGCATACAAGTACATACACCAACTTACCAGACAAGAGCACTCACATATGAGCATACAAGTACATACACACCGACTTACCACACAAGAGCACTCACATATGAGCATACAAGTACATACACCAACTTACCACACAAGAGCACTCACATATGAGCATACAAGTACATACACACCGACTTACCACACAAGATCACTCACATATGAGCATACAATACAAGTACATACACACCGACTTACCACACAAGAGCACTCACATATGAGCATACAAGTACATACACACCGACTCACCACACAAGAGCACTCACATATGAGCATACAATACAAGTACATACACCAACTTACCACACAAGAGCACTCACATATGAGCACACAATACAAGTACATACACCAACTTACCACACAAGAGCACTCACATATGAGCACACAATACAAGTACATACACCAACTTACCACACAAGAGCACTCACCTATGAGCATACAATACAAGTACATACACCAACTTACCACACAAGAGCACTCACATATGAGCATACAATACAAGTACATACACCAACTTACCACACAAGAGCACTCACATATGAGCATACAATACAAGTACATACACCAACTTACCACACAAGAGCACTCACATATGAGCAGACTCATGCTCACACACAAACCGACTTCCATGGTGATACTTACATCTTCCAGTATTCTGGCTTGTCTTGCAGTCTTCATAGCCTGAGCAGACGCAACCACATATTTTGGCTTTGATTGTTTTGGCAGAGATAAAGATGTCTCGCTGGGGCAATCTTGCAGTGTAAGACACTCGGTAGAACCCTGAGGCAAGTCTCCCTCAGATCCCCAGTTCCAGCCTCGGCCGCAATCATGCAGTCTTTGGGTCAGCTGTGAGATTTCATTGTCTACCTGATGTTTCAGAGCCACAGCCTCAACATCTGATACTTTCTGAAACCAAGACATGACAAGGGTTACTTGTTAACGTTATCTGTGTATCCTTTAAAGGATGTTGCAGAACCAACCCCAGCATTTTTTGGCTCTTTGTCGTTTTCCTAGGCAAATACGCACAAAAGTTCAAAAGCTATACAAATCATGTCCTCGTAAAAAGAATTGAATCATTGAGAGCTGATTAATGAAAAATGATGTGGAAGTGACAGAGATGTGATTTTATAAAAGAAATATAAGAACACCATGGACAGATAAAAAAGAGCAATGAAGAAGTTTTGAAATGAACTGACTCATAAGAGAAGTGAAGAGATAATCTCCTTTCGTCACATCACAAGAATGAGAAAGCTAGAGCATATCATGATGGTGGGAAAGTTGTAGGGAGAAAGAGGCAGAGGGAGATAGACCGAGAGAGAATATACTGGACAGTTTGACATCATTTCATGGAAGTTCTCCATGTTGATTCTTTCGTCCTATTGTTGGGGAGAGGGGGGGGGGGGGAAGGGGGTTAACAAGAAAAGACCCACTGTCTTCCTAACAAGCATGTCATAAGAGTTGATAAATTGGGGGTTATCTCTGAAGTTGGAGTACATTTGCCTGAGAGGCATGGAACCAATAATCTGCATATAAATAAGCTAAATCTGTAAAAAGTCCACAATTGGAAAAGCAACCACAACTTTTTGCCAGAGTTTGCCATTACTTTCTGAAAGGTCCGTGTTTCATACCTTTGCCAAAATCAATGCTGACGCTCTGCTGGTAAATCCCCTGCAACTGAATCCAACTTGGCATATCAGAATTACAAAGCACATTTGCCAAACACCAAAGCCACTGATGCCGAATGGTGAAGGTAAACAGGGATTTACTGACTGATTCATTTAACTCACTGCAAAACAATTTAAAACTTGTAGAAAGTGGAGAAAATGCCAAGGTCCCATGTCCATGCCGAGGTGTACGGGACACATGGTGCTCGCCCTATATCACACAGACTAATCTGCCCTTGATAGGTGATGCAGTCAGTGTAAGACAACCCATCGTTTCTTCCCAGGGCATTACTGGGTACCCGTTTAAGTAAGGTTGGGCTGACCTAAGAACTCAGGACAATCTGTAAAAATCTGCCTCACTGGGGAATCTTCTTCTTCTTAGTGTTTACCAGCTGTAAACTCCGGCGCAAAGTTCTGGTTGTTCATCCACTTCTGGACTGTGGTCTTGAACCAAAACTTGAGTTCACATCCGTTTGACAGATCTGGCTTACTTGTATGCAGACTGTTGGTTTCTTGCTGCTCAGGCAGATACACCGACTTCTAAGGAAACACACCTAATTAGTCACTTTTTACGACATACTGGTGTGTGTGTGTGTGGGAAGGGGCTAGAGGCCCCGGAATAAATAGAGACTTAAGAGAATCAAACCCATGAACATTGGATCAGCAGGCAACTATGCTACCGGCCGTTCTCCCGCAGATTCCATCACTCTTAAAGATCATCTCATGCTTAGCACTTAATATTTATCTCCCTTGCATGTTCATGTATTGTTTATGGTTTTAAGTCTCAATGTTTCGTCAGTTTTGTTTCCTTCTTATATATAGGTAAGAAATCAAGCTGACGAAACAATAAGACTGCATGTTCCATGAAACTAAACCTGAAGGCTAATCTAGACAACCCTACAGAAGTCTGACGTGTCAGCCAAAAAGTGCAAATATCACAGCCATGTTGTAAGTGAGCACAACACATTCACAACTTCAGATGAATGCAGAATAGAGGAAGAATCCAATGTTCATACACACGCTTGCGATTTTACAGAGTTCTCTTTTAGTGAATGTCCAAGAGCAGAATATACAACCAACAACAAAATAGTTGATGACCTACCTTTCTCAGCAGAAGCTGCTCCATCTGTTCAATGTCTGCTTCATGTTTGAGAATAAAGTCCCTAAGTTTTGTCCGAGCTGCAACAATCTCTTTTTCTACGGCACCCGGCAGAGGCAAGTAAACTTCCTCTACTGCAGGCAGGGTGTCAGAAGCTGCATAAGCCTTTTCTTGGTTGTGAAGAGTTAAAACACTGGTCTGTGGGCAAGAGTGAGAGAAATGTGATCATTGTGGCATAAGGTGGTTTTGTCGTTTGCAGTTCTCCGTTCTTCCAGACGACACTTTTACACTGTGCTATGGGAAGGCCTGGAAACCACAGCCTATGGCAGAGGTTCCCAAAATGTGCGCCGCGGCGTCCAGGGGAGCCACGACTTTTTCACATGAGCACTGCAAAATATTGTAAAAGCTACATCATTAATTTAACAAAGACACGAATAGTCATACTTTTACTTAGGTTAGGACACCGCAAAATATTGTAAAAGCTACATCATTAATTTAGTAAAGACACGAAAAGTCATACTTTTACTTAGGTTAGGGCACCGGGAAAAATTTGAATTGAAAAAAAAGGCGCCACGACCAAGACAGGTTTGGGAAACACTGGCCTAGGGCATTACAATGTAAGGCCAGGAATGAAGTTCCTCTTCTCCACAGCACAAAGCCTGGGCAGTACTGTAGAGTTATGTGTTGCCCATGCAACATGATCCCTCTCTCGGCCGGCTTTTTAACTCCAGAGGAAAGGTAACAACAAAACACGTGGATCAAAGCATTCTGCAGAAGCTGCCACATCAGAAGAGCAGTGCCCTGTCTGTTCGCCTGTCAGAGCCTCCCTTCTAGACTAAATCTAAGGACTTAGTCTGCCCTAACGTAACATTTTGTTTCCTGGCTGCATGTCTTCGTCCTAGGATATGTGAAGCTTCAGGCCTCATACGTTGTAGGCGTCACACATACGGCCAGGGCTCTTCCTTGTCTTTGATCTAATTGCTTGTTCATTGATCAACATTTTCCCGGGTGGGTTACGGGTTTCCACTGTGGAGAAAACAAGAACAGACCCACTTCCTCCCCAACAAGCATGTCGTAGGAGTTTACAAAGTGGGTGTATCTTCTAAAGTTGGAGTACATCTGCTTGAGAGGGAAGGAACCAAGAGTCTGCATACAAATAAGCTAAATCTGTGAAACGGATGTGCACACAACACTCAGGTTCTGGAACAAGACTAATGTCCGGAGCTGGAGGAACACCACCGTGAACTTTCCGCCGGTGAACGCAAAGTGGAACAAGAAGAATTTTAGATGTCTTTGTGCCAAACAGATATGACATCTGACAGCTCTCAGTTTTTAACATGTTTGTTATCCCTTTAAATGTGGCGCGGTGATATTTGTCACAGGCGTGAGGGGAAGTTAAGTCCAACATGATGTGTATAAGGAGATACTCCGTACGTCACTCGGGCGCCAGTCCTTAACTATCCTGGTTGTACGGAACCTCACGCAAGACCCCTACAGCACGTCCTCGTCGTGCGCCACGGATAATGTCTCAAATGAGCATTAACAGAGCTGTCAGGGGATCTCGGAGTTTGGCGGCCCCCAGAGGTGATGTGTACTTGTGGCTCTCATCAGCCCGCCCCCAAACGCTTGGGTGAAAAATGTTATCAAAACTCATTAGGAACATGAGTAGGTTTGCCAAACGTACAGCCAAAATTACAACCCTTGGTTAAAAGACTGCGGAGTAAAGAGAACATTGTTCACTGCACATCCTCTGTTAACCCTCAGTGTGGTCGTCACCGCGCTGAGGTACACCACAACAGCAACCATCCATAGGCCGGCCATCCTTGTACATCCTCGGTTAACCCCCAGTGTCGTCGTCACCGCGCTGAGGTACACCACAACAGCAACCATCCATCGGACGGCTAAGCCTAATTGTCCGACAAAACTAGATCATACGGATCAAAATCTGACCATCAAAATTTGTATTGAACTGAAAAAGACCGAATGTCCACACCCAAAGACCCCACTCGCCCGAGTGTTGGGACCAAACTGATAACGATATGCCTGATGCAGGATGTAAAATTCTGTCGGGCTAACGGCTCGTCAAAGAAATCTAACGTGCGAAGAAAAAAGAATGTACCTATCTGTGTGGTCACAAAAGTCCAAAACCCACGGGCTGCTCCCCGCTGACTTCCAGAGGGCGCAGCCCCTGTCGAGCGGGAGGCCTGATACGGTTGTGAGGTTAAGCAGGCATGTGCAGGACGTGACGATTCCTTGGGTGAGCCCAGAACCAGAGCGCCATGTGCCGGCTCTGCATGCATGGAAGCCTCCTTGGATGGCGGGGAATGCCCATGATCTGCCCCTGCCTTCCCTTGAGGGCGAACTGTTCCACAGGGGGCTGCCCCAAAGGGGTACTCTGAGGGCAATACCTGCGGAGAAGGAGACAAAGTGGACACCACACAAATCAGGCAACGTCTCGACCCACACAAAACAATGGCCACAGTCAACCTAGAAATAGGCCTGACGTCTTCCTTCGAAGTCGGAGTACAGCTGCCCATGAGGCAGGGAAATGAAAAACGGTTGTACACGCAAAAATCAGGTCCAGGTGAAAGCCAAAAGTCCAAGCGGACGATTAACCTGGACCTTCCACTGGAATTCACAGCCGGTGATCGATAAAAAAAAAAAAAAAAAAATCCATTTAAATGCAAAAATGTGTCTCCTCTTGAAAATATACTTTGCCCCAATTTTTTTCTTTCTTTGATTTCTTTTCCACTTTTATTATAACATATTTAAGGTAACATAAATATATTAAAATCAGTACAATGTATGTGTCAATAATTATAAATTTTCTAAAGAAAAGGTATAAATATAAATGCTAACCATCCATTCCCAAAATATATGTTCCTTGTCGGTCCAGTCAAGTAAATTCTTCATTCGTGCATTATCTTTCTCTAGCTCATCAAGCATCTGCAAAACAAAAAACAAAACAAAACAGTCAAGTTAAAAGGCATTATTTCTAACAGAACATAAAAATGGGTAATTTTCAAACACTGTAAGGGTATTTTTCTTTCCCTTTGTTTTTGGTGTTGTGGACATCAACAATATTTAAACACAGTGTGCTGACCATCAAGAATACAATAAAAGCAAAATTAAATTCTTCTTCTTCTTCTTCACATTCACCAGCTGTGAACTCCTGCAGAAAGTTCTGGTTGTTCATCTTTTGGATTTTGGTCTTGTTTGAGAATCTGAGTTTTGTGTGCACATGTAGTTTACAGATCTGGCTTATATGTATGCAGACTGTTGGTTTCTTGCCTCTTGACTCCAAAGGAAACATCCCTAATCAGTCGATTATTATGATATGATTATTAAAGGGTAGGAGTTCTATTCTCTCTCCCCACCCCCAAATGGGGCCCCAGAACCCACATAGGGTGAGCTAAACTCATTATGTGAATGAGTCTTATGTTGTATGTGAATGAGTCTTATGTTGTATGTGAATGAGTCTTATGTTGTATGTGAATGAGTCTTATGTTGTATGTGAATGAGTCTTATGTTGTATGTGAATGAGTCTTATGTTGTATATTTCAAGTCATATTGAACATGATCATGAATCTTCAGTTTCATTTTCTTAATAAAAGATACTCTGGTGATCTGACAGTAGAAGCTGCAACAATAATATAGTTCACAGAGAAAGGAAGAGGAAATCACTGACATACCTTCTTCATACTGTCTGGGTACCTCAACAAATAAACCTCTAGAGGTGAAAGGTGGTGATCATCAGCCAGTAGACTAACGCCCTCTGTGCTTTTACAAATCTGGCGACAGGAGAGATAAAACATTAGCAGCCAAGAATAAATATAAATGTACTCAGATCAGACAGTCACTTTCCAGACACATTAACTCTCTCACTCTGAGAAGTCAATGTCATTAAAAAAAAAAATCTGGCCCTTGCCAGGGACCGAACCCACAAACTTCCAATCTGCAGCGGAGCCTCTAGCCGCCTGACCACGGCAGCTCCCTAGGGCATATTGTGCTCACCCCATTTGTTTAGAAACTAATCAATACTTGATGGGTGTGTCAGTTTTATGCCAGCCATTCGGCTAGGATTTTATGGTACTCATTTTGGCCGAGGCCTAGCCCAATTAAAACATTTGCCTAGATGGGGGTGTCAATCGACGGCCTCAGGGGTCAACAGGCCAGGAACTGTGCTTCGCTGGCCCCCAGTTAACATTTTTTGGGGGGCCCTCTATTCCCACCCCCCCCCCCCCCCCCCCCCCCCCCCCCCCCCCCCCCCCCAACACACACTGCCCCGATTGCCACACAGACATTCAACATACCTGCACTAAATTACCTCATTCATTTTCATAAATATTCAGCTTAACATATATGCCTCCCTTCTTCACCTCATCCTTCCATCGCCTGGTTCAAGTCTTTTATTTTTAACCAGTTTTTATTTCATTGACCATGTGGGTTCCCATGCAAGAAGTAAACATTTGACTTACGGTAAGTTTGAGTCCTGCCAGAGCCTGATGAGTCATGTATAACCTTCTCAAGGACAGTCTTAGTTTACCACACAACAGCAGCTGCCTTTGGATTTTGTCTTTGGGAGTATGGACGACTGTCTCAAGGTGTGAACAAGGCTGACTCTCTGAGCTGAGTGACGGCCCCTGAAATAGCAGATCAGTGACATTATTGGCTGCGTGGCGGCAGACCTTTGCTTACTCTCTACCCCCATCTCTAGATCCCTGGGATGGCATGTTACTCTCATCAGTGGTTCCCAGATTTGTCTGGCCCACCGCCTTCATTTCACTGAAGAATATTGCTCAGCAGCCTCTCTGAGGAATATCTTCATCATGTGCCATGCTGATAAGCATAAGCGGTCAGGATTTGCCATCCTACACGATCAGAAGAATCAGGGATCAGGTGAGTGCACTTGGCCAAACCATCAAGGTATTTATCTCTTTGCTTTCCCCCTCTTTCAGTCAATCTCGCCAGTTGTCACTAAGTCCACAAGTCTATTCTTTGCTTTTTTCTATAATCAAACAAACACACTGTTGCTAATGACATTTTTATGTGTGCATCGTCTTTCTTCATTCTTCAAACATGCTCAGGTCTGTACTTTTCATCTTTTCTCCAGTTTCATAGGTTACTTTAAGATTGTCTTTGGCGTTTAGAGCTGTGAGACAAATGGGGCTGCTGTTTCCCCACTTTGGTTAACACTGCTCTACATGATTTTCTCAATTTGGTCATTGACGACGGTTTTCAAGTACTATGTTACATCATCACAATCAACATCACTGTTTATGAGCATTTTCAAGTGTACCTGGACTACGATTCAGCAATCATTTGAGGGTACTCTCCTGATTGTTTCCCATGAGAAGTTATTTACAATGTCTTCTATTTTAGCTGCAAAGCAACAAATGCATAACCAAGCTTTTCTCAAAGGTCATGCAATTGTGTCAGCATCAGAGATTCATCACTACCTATCAGCTTTGTCTTTACAGCACTGATGATATCAGATGTGTACATGCTCCTTCTCGTACGCACTCCTACTTGCCAGCTAGTCTGCTCAGCTGTGTACATGCTCCTTCTTGTACGCACTCCTACTTGCCAGCTAGTCTGCTCAGCTGTGTACATGCCCCTTCTTGTACGCACTCCTACTTGCCAGCTAGTCTGCTCAGCTGTGTACATGCCCCTTCTCGTACGCACTCCTTCTTAATAGCAAGTCTGCTCAGCTGTGTACATCCATATTAATTCTGGGTTATTCAAGAGTCTTCGTGGCACAGTGGTCAAGCCATTTGCCTCATGATCTGAAGGTCATGCATTAATTTTACATATTCACCATTCAGTTCCCAGCAGCAATTTTTATTCAGACCTCCAGGGATCATCATTGAAGCTATGAAGGTAGTACTTTGTGTGATGCTCTTGACAAGCGGCTGGCCATTCTGCAGAAAGACAAAGCTGTTTGGGATAAAATCCAGTGCAAAGAAGTTCATCCTGTCACCTTTAACCTTTACCTGTATTATGGTATCCTACTCCATATGCTGAATAAAGAATCAACCTTACAGCACTCAGGACACTCCCATAAGTGCTCCTTCTCCACCTTAGACAAGAGTTTCTATTACGATGGCACCAGTAACTGTCTGATTGTATATCCCTCTCGCCTTTCCCTTGAGCGTCAGCTAGATCTCCTGGTAACTCCTTGCAGCACCATTCTCCTTAGACTGTAATGATCTATTTGTGCTTTCTCAGTGTTTACTCGCTTCCAAAGGGCCCTCAAAACATCTAGCTTGTCATAAATGAAAGTGGTGCAGAACCAGCCAGTCTATCTGCCTGCTCATTTCCCAACACACCAGCATTGCCTTAAGAAAATATCCAAAGAATGCTGACTACCCAGGACCTCTGAAGCGATGCTTGCCACTCTGCACAAAGCACGCCTGTCTTCGCCTTACTCAACATGCTCTGTGAGCCAGTTATAATTATGTAATAGAGGTCCTTTTCTTTCTTCTTGTTGTCATTAGCTGTGAAATGGAAAGTTTTGGATGTTCATCCATTGCTAGAATTTGGTCTTGTTCCAGAACTTGCACATCCAATTTACAGACCTGGCTTATCTATATGCAGACTGTTGGTCCCTCACCTGTCAGACAGATGCACTCAAAGGAAACTTCCCTAATCAGCCACCCTGTATGACATGCTTGTCAGGGGGGCAGTGGGTTTATTATTCCCCCCCCCCCCCCCCCAACAACCTCTAGAACTCACTCGGAGAGCCCAAAGTTCCAGTACCAATTATGCAAGTAGCAGTCCTAGTGTATGTCACTCTTGCTTCTCTTCTTAGTTTTGAGCGTCGGTTAGACCCTGAACAGTATATTTTTTTTTCTGTAGCGAAGTGGTCAAGTGGTTTGCCCAGCGCTATGAAGGTTGTGGGTTCGTTTCACTGCTGTGTCGTTCACTTCACCAATGCAATTGTTACAGAGATCCCTGAGGATCGTCGCCAGAGCTACGGAGTTCGTGCTTTGTGTGATGCTCTCGGCAGGCAGCTAGCCATTCTGCGAAGGAAGACTGAGCCATATGGGATAAAATCTGGTTTAATGAAGTGGATCCTCTCGACTTTAAGCTTTATTTTGTCTTGTGTAATATACAAATACAAGAAATACTGACATTTTTTACACTGACATTTTTTACACTGACATTTTTTACACTGACATTTTTTTACACTGACATTTTTTTATACTGACATTTTTTATTCTGACATTTTTTTATACTGACATTTTTTATACTGACATTTTTCAAGCAAATTTCTTGAAAGCAAAAACTGAATGGAAAGAAGAAGTCTTCTTCCGCATATCATTTTAGGTGTCGAGGTAGGCAAAACAATGTAACTAAAAACAAACAACACACATAATGAATTCTTACTTTTTGGTGTAAAAATTCCATTAAATCCTGCTGCAAGGGACTAGACCAAGATGATATGATTTTATCAAACACTTGCTGCGTATGAATCACCCAACCCAGGGCAAGTAAAAGCTCCCGACTACCACTGGAAAAGTCGTGCGGCAATCTAGCAAATGGCCGCATTATGTAGCCCCATTTCTGAAGCTGAGTCTTCACGAAGACTATCTCCTCCTCTGTTAATGAAGAGGTCAACAATCAGAATTATTACAACAAACAACAGATTATTGCACAATTTACTATCTGGCATATTTTGCTGTCACTCGCCAGATGCATCCTTCCGTAAAAATTAAATAAAATGAAGCCAAAAAAAAAAAATCCTTTAAAACGGACATAAACATTTAAAAAATCTGTATCAAAATGTCTTATTGAATCTCTTTCTCCTCCTCCTCCTATCGAAGCAAACATACAACAACTAAATCCTGCTTAGCCCTCCTATTTTTCGCCATTTTTTGCAACACCAGCCTTCTTCTTCTTCACTTCCTCTTTTACCGCTGTGGGTGTCGAGGGAGATATAAGGTTCTGTTTCTAGCTCTTCTGGCTGCCTTGACCATAGGCACATCGTGCTGTTGTAGAGTTTCTCTGATGTTATCCTTCCATCTTGTTCTTGGTCTACCCCGTGCTCTACGTCCTTCTTCTCTTTCCATGTATGCTTAACACCAGCCTAACCCCCATATTATTCAGTTATGTTTCTAATTATCTCCCCTGTTTCCAGACCGCCCTCAATTTCTGTTGCCATGTGTTCAAGACAAAGGACTTTCTAACGACACTATTAACAGATTTCTCACTGGGTACTCAAGGCAATGTCAAAATCTGGTCCTTAGATCTTGATTTGCTGGAATTTGCTATTTTTCTCCTTAAGTCTGCGTATGTATCTTTGATCTCTTCTATTCTACATGTAAATCTCTGATGATGATGGAAATTTCTTTAATGGATAAATGTCACACACTGACGTAAATCAAATGACCAAGAGTCAATTAATTTTTTTTTCAATTGCCTTTACGTCCTTTTTAGGACAATTTTTTGTTTTTTGAAGCCCTACCCTGGCTTTTGCTGCAATATAGGCAGGCCATAAATATGGCCAATTCTCTGAACGCGGTTTCTGGGACCTCTCCACGGCGATCCTTATCCGCATGGTGGCACTTTGTGTCATCGGGTGTTTATCGCTTGCGTGATGTCCTGGTGGGGTAGAAAGTCAGTCAGTCAGACCAAGAGTTAAGGCACCCGAAGTAGGATTTAAACTCAAACCTTTCAAGGCTGGAATCATCAATGGCTTGAATTTACTATGCGGAAGATGACTTGTGCAGAAATAAACAACATGGAATATCAGCTTCCATAATGGTTCAGTCTGTTAAAAAGACAGTAAAATGAAAATTTGATGATTTGTAAGACAATCAAAGCTATTACATTTGGCCCTTTCTTACCTTTTCTGTTCCAAAAGCTATTAAGTATTGCTAGCTACTGTCTATACATATTGTAATCATCATCATGTGTCCCGCCAGGTGATGTAGTTGCTTAAGTCTCTCCACAGATCTTGGTCCTTAGTACTTTAAATCAATTCCACTGATGATATTCCTTTATGCCATAACTTCAGGCTGTCAAGCATAATTTCTCTTGGTCTGCCTCTCCTACCGCTGATCTTTCCAGTCATCGTGAAGTTCTCCAATGCCTTTCTTCTCTTCACACAGACTTACTCTTTCTTACGGTTGTATATGGTTGTCCATGTGTATGGAGCAACATATTTGGTCTTACATCTTTTACAATGGAGCACAGGCTAGAAACAAATTCATGCAGAAGATTTTTATCCTTTAACTCTTTGAGTCCCAAGGAACGCATCATAGGTTCACATGGTCCTACCTAGAAGCCCAATGAATGCACGATGTGCCGATTTTATGACTCTCTTTACTACCCCCCAGGCCTGTGATGCTGAACCCCCTGGGACTCAAAGAGTTAACCTGTTGCCATTTTCTGACTTTTACAAATTTTTGATGACGTAACATCTCTGGGCAGTGGAAAACACAGCCGGACTTTTCATCAGGCTGCTCCTGGTAATATTAGCATGTCGACTCTTCATTGGCTACTGGAACAGAGGAAATGTCCCAAGTACAGTGACGTTAATTCTTGATTCACTGGTGCATGGCAAGGCAAACTAGATTTTATCAAGGTCTAATTGGAGTGAGTAAACAATGCAGAAAGGCACAGATAGATCATCACAGTCTGAAGGGAATGGTACAGATAGATCATCACAGTCTGAAGGGAATGGTACAGATAGATCATCACAGTCTGAAGGGAATGGTACAGATAGATCATTACAGTCTGAAGGGAATGGTACAGATAGATCATCACAGTCTGAAGGGAATGGTACAGATAGATCATCACAGTCTGAAGGGAATGGTACAGATAGATCATCACAGTCTGAAGGGAATTGTACTCTGGGGAATGAGCAGGTGTTCTGGTGATACTCAAAACATTTATGGAAACTGAAAAGCAAGACAGCCATACAATGAGACTTTTGCTGAGACCATCAGAATTGAAACTCTTCCTCGGCTGCTGAAGCTCAGGACAGAGTGCTTTTACTTTTATGAAAATGTCTGCGTGTGATTACTGTGATGTCCGGCCGTTCTTAATCTGAACTGAAGTTGTGTATAAGTTTATCTATTTAACAAGAATGCAAATTTTTTAAGCAGACTTACTGCTGACTGCTTGTTGAACTTTGCTTGTCTAAGAGTCTCTGCACGAATAACACATGAAATATTCTCCTCTAAAATTTTACAAAACAACTCAATCACCGCCCTGGCTTGCCCAGACCCTGCCATTTCCAGCCTGTCTCAAGTTGAGACTCTCAACTCACTACTCAACTGGCTGAATTACATGGACACTGGACTCTGAGAATACCATTCATAATGTTAACGGTTTGTTTTGATATGTTAATATGTCTCTAACTGATCGCTTGTGGTCGGTGTAACTTGTTTTAACAATACAGTCAGCCGGAAAAATCAGATTCTAGTACAATCGTTCAAAGTGCTGCTTTACATAACTACTAGTACTAGTACACAGAAGTACACAAGAAGCACGTAACTATATACGCTTTTTCTGTCTAACTCTTCTTGCTTTTCTTCCAAAGAAATATAAAAAACAAGGTCATTGAAATCGAAAGAAATTACTAAGCATTGTGTATTTTTATTTCAAAACTATTTTAATCTTTATTTGTTAGTATTTTAATACTCTAAAAATATATTTATGTTAGTTAACTATATTAATATTTTGAAGAAAAGGGGATATGTGTTGTGGCTGATAATGATTTATTCCGTGAAAAGAACACATCATCCTTAAGCAGTGATGTAGAACGGGGAGGTCCTGGTTGTAGTTTTGAGGTGACCGTATTTCTGCTGTAGTTTGTTACGGCCAAGTTTATTCAACATGGCGGACACAAGTGTGGCTACAACAGGCCCAACCAATGTTGCAGAGAACAACACAGATGAGCAGGTAGGCTTGTACTGTTGTATTGTTCATTGCGAAAGACCGATACTAATGTTGACTGCATTCTCGATTTAAGTACTGAAAAATTGGGTTACTGATTTTTTCAGATGTATATTCAAATATTCACATCTCCTGATGAGTGTGAGTAATGACTGAATCATGAACGATGATGAATTCAATAATGAATGTCTTATTTTTTCCCCCTTTGGCATCCGCTTCCACCAGAACAAAACAGTGACAGGGGGTAGTCACTTCAGTCAAATTTTTAAAATGCCCTCTACACCAATAAAACCAACACAGTTAGATAGCTGTAAACAAATCTCTTTCCAATGGTACCTCATTTAGGCTTGTATGTCATTTCTGAGCTGAGATATGTAGGTTTTTGTGGAGATGAGATGTAGAAAGCAGCTGCTAAAACTTGTGACCCAGAAACAAGAAGTTTTTCTCTGCGCAACCAAACTGCGCACTTTCGTTTTGGCTTTGTTGACATTGGACTGTCATTGGACAAGATGGCAACCAATGACGAATGAGACACAGCCACATAATAGCGATTGCATGAAAAATGTCACTGTAAATCTAAACAGCCACAGACAAGAAAGACATTTTATATACAAATGTAAAATTGGACGGAGAATTTAATTATAACTAGCATTACCACATCTGGTAATGTTTAAGGCCTAAAGCCAACTTTGAATACTTAACGCTATTTTCAATCAAACGGATGTAACAGAAAAACAGAGGACGTCTGGCTGTCGTAGACATGCGCTGTTAATCGGGTTCCTTTCCGCTGTTTTCAGCTATTTAGAGTGGGTGAAAATCACACCAATCGCAAAATTTCATGAGAGATTAGGACCCATCTCGAAACCTCAGCCGACATTTCCGAATGGCAAGTTTTGAACGGTTTCCATGGTAACGGAAATTGCCAAAAGATCGCAATTTTCCGGACACCGTAGTCGCTAGACAGGGGGCCCGACAGATTAGTTAGTCCTTTACTTTACTGAATCTATGTACTAGTAGGAGAAACAATCGGGTGGGGCGGTCGAGACAGAGGTTTAGTAAGAAACTAAAATAAATTTATAAAGGGGGGGCGGGGGAAGGATTCTGAGCTAAACAATAAGTCAGCCGTCAGTAGGACTGATATGAATGAGAAACAGTGGGACAAAGGGTGTGAAGTGATTGAAGGTCTGTGCTGTTATACTGTTATCTGTATATTATAAGAATAAACAGTTAAATATTTTATTGTCACATCCAGATAAACATGTTATGTATGGTTCAGAAGTAGCAGAGGAGTCCTTGGTCAGTTTATTTTCCTCCATATTGATATTCAGTCCACCATTTGTTTGGTCATAAAGACTTTGATCATTAATTTTAGAGGTCATTCCTCAATTGGTCAGTGACCTTTGTCTGTATCTACTTTGTAAAATGTAGTAAAGGTATTTACAGGGTTCGTAGTGGACCGGGAAATCGGGAAATTACCGGGATTTTTTTCGTTGACCTTAAAACCGGGATTTTTAGCTTATAAAAGATATTCCGACCTTGAAAAGCCGTGAATTTTGACCGCGGCAATGAAATCGTCAGAAATCCTGTGTTTTTCAAGCACAGGCAATTTTGGGGGAGCCATTTGGCTTTTTTGGCCATTTGGCTAGTTTTTGGCTACTTTCATTGTATGGTCGTTTCAGGTGTGAGGGCAGCTGATTATTGGCTATTTTCAGCCGAAATGGCTTGTTAAAGGCCAGGGGAGGGCGGGCTTTGTTACAGATCATGAATACATGCAGACAGCAGCAGTGTGGCATGGGGCGGGAAGGAGCAGCTTCCTTCTCGCGTGTGTGTGTGTGTGTGCCTTTGTTTCTAGCAAGTCGGGCAGAATGAACAGTTTAAATCGTTTATGGCCGTGGTTTCTAGAAAGGATTACATTGGGAGATGGTGGGGCTTGGTTCAGTTGTATTTATAAATAGAGTCGCCGTGGTCGGGCTAAGCACGGCCTTCTCTATTAATTAGAGATGGCATTGGGGCTAAGAAAAGTGACTGCAGCTGGATTTCCCAGTTCTATTTTTGGCCTGGATTTATCTTTACAGTGTGTTTGGCGATCAGTATTGTAATTCCCCGAGATTCCCTCTTCTGTTGTCTCACTCCTCTCTCTCTCTCTTCCCTCCCTCTTTCACTCTTCTACCTATTGCTCCTTCCTTCCCGTCTCCTGCATTGTCTCTAACCCTCCCTTCTGATCTTCATCTTCTTCTCTTTCTCTCTATCTTTCCTTTTACTCTCCCATTTCCTGTCCCCCTCCCCCTTTTTCCTATTTTATTTCTTGTTTAAATGTTTAGTAAATGTGCGGCTCCATAACTCTTCCTAGCAACTCAAGTACACAGGAAGTTGTATTGGGGGGGGGGGGGGGCATTCTGTGTGAACATGGTGGATATTTTCTTTTGATGTGTTTGTTTTCCTAGCGGCCTTAATCTCTGTCCATCTCCCTTCCCGCCCCCTCACATTTTGTCCTACCTGTTCCTCACTCTCTGCCTGTCTGTGTCACTGCTTTCTTCTTTCTCTTTGTATTTGCCACTCTCCCTCACCCTCTCTCTCTCTCTCTCTCTCTCTCTCTCTCTCTCTCTCTCTCTCTCTCTTTCTTTCTCCATACCTTCAGTTGGTGTAGAAGGTTATGTGTTGCCTAGTGCAGAACATTTCATGTCCACCATTCCCCCTCCCACACATTAAATATATGTGTACTTTTAAAAACACATTTGCCGTCACCCCCCCCCTTTTTTTTTCTCCTCCCACATTGATGACACCTAGGGGAGGGAGTGCACCCCTTCCTGCTACCTTCTTCCCTCTATATCTTATTTCTTACTCCCTGTCTCATTCCCACTTTATTTTCTTAAACTTTATTCTCTCACCTCCTCTGTCTCACCCTTACCACCTCAGCCTTCTACACCACTTTCCACCACCTCCTCTCTCCCCTCCTTTCTGTAATTGGAAAACCAGAAATAAAACGAAGTCCACTGCTGCCCTGACCTATTTATGTGTGTGGGTAAACTTCTCTATTTTCCACCAGTGGTGGGTTGGGATCCCCTGGACTTTTATTTTCTTCATAAAATGACCTTGGCTCTCAGGTCACCAGCCTTAAGTGTAAGAAATTGAATTATTGTTGTCACACACAGATAGGACAAGCAAGGGGCAGTAGGGGTTAGCACTGTTGTTTTTGGACCACGGCCACATTCACATTGAGAGAGGGTACACTTATTGTTCTTACACCCCCCCCCCCCACCCCCCCCCCACCCCCCCCCACAACCGTGTCTTACCTTTCTTCTCTCACCCCTTCTCTTTCCTTTGATCTTCTTCTATTCTCCTTTCTCTCTCCATTCTTCCTCTCTTCCTTTCCTTGCCCTCTCTCCTGTCCCATCTCTTCTTTGTCTCCTCTCCATCCTGTCTTTTCATTTTCTCTAGATTTCCTTACCCGCTCCCCTCTCTCATTCTTCCCCCCCCCCCCCATCATTTTTTTTTACTGGTTCATCTACGTATTTTTTTGCCCCATAACTATCTTTTCCTAGTGGTTGTGTCCACTACACTTGAAATTGTGTGTGTGGGGGGGGGGGGGGGAGGAGGTGGCTGTTTTTTTTCTTTGATGTATCTTGTCTCCCTTCCTGCCCCTCTCTCTTAATCTGTGTTTGTCACTGCCTTCCTTACCCACCTCTCTCTCTCTCTCTCTTGCTTTATGTCTGTTTGCCTCCCTTCATCACTTCCTCTTTGTATACCTCCCTCCCATTCTCCTGCTCTGCCTTTTTTCTCTTTCTTTGGTTCTCTCCCTCTGTCTGCTTGCCTCTCTGTGCTGTCCCTTTGTCTCTCTCTCCTTTATGTCTACATCTCTCTCTGCTTGCATCTGCTTCTCACCCTGTCCGTTCTCTCTCCCTCTGTCTCCCTTCTTTCAACTCTTTGTCATATTTTCCTCCTTCCATATCTCTATTTCGTTCCCTTTTTCCTTCTCTTTTCATCTGCCCATCTCTGTATCTGCATTCCCTCTTTCTGTATTTTTTTCCCTCTCTGTCTTTCGCTGTTCCTTCCCCACACTTTTCCTCATCATGTCTCCATCCCTCCCTCTCATTTTTTCCTCCTTCCCCAGACTTCTTTTCCTTCTTTTCTCTACCTTCATCTGTCCATCTTTACACTGTCTCTCCCAGCCTACCTCAGCATGTGTCTTCCTCTCTCTTCATGACTCTCTCTCTCTCTCTCCCCTAACCCTCTCAGGTACCAGGTCCAGAACAGACAGGACTTCAGTTTGCTGCCCTCTACCACCAAGCCCTAAAAAAAATTTCAAACACTATATCAAGCTCAGGGGCCCGACCAGCACGAAGATGGGCACAGGATATAAGTGACTCCTTGAGTATAAAAAAGTACATGAGACGGGAGAGCTGGTGAGAGACCGAGGTTTTTTTGTCAGGACAAAGGAAATGCTACATGATGATGATATCTGTGCTGGTATACCAACACATGTGGCACAAATGAAGTACCTTGTCTGTCAGTACACCCTTGAACAAGTCAAAAATCTTGTTTCAGTATTACACCGAGACAACCTTGAAAAAAACTAAGGAGACCTTGAAAAAGACCTTGTAAAGCCTTGAAATTGATTGGTAAATTTGGCTATGAACCCTGTATTTAGCCAAAGTTGTTGCACATAGATTTACTTTTTGGTTTAAAAATTTACAAAAGAAAAATTACTTGTCTAAAGTTTGGAGAAATGCTGAAAGAAATAAAGAACAGACAGCTGGGATACTTTGGCTGCATTAAAAGTAAAAGACATGACACGCTTTTGAAGGCCATACTGGAGAGAGAGGTTGAAGGTAGGAAAGCAAGAGGTGGGCAGCGATACAAGTGGAAGGACATTATCAAAAGATGAACAGGCAGCAGTCTGATAGAGTGTACAAACAGGGCAAGAGACATCATGTTGAAGATCCATTGCAGAGAACCATCACCAATGGAGGTGGTTATGATCACTCATACAAAAAAATGGAAGGCATAAAGTTCTGACTAATCAGTAGTAATTGTTAGGTAAATGATTAAGGCTTTCGTTTCTTTCATATATATATATGATCAGCAGTGATTTTTGTTATCTGCTGGCCCTTTTTTTTTTTAAAACTTGTGGTACACAGTGGTATGCAGTACCGGCACCTTTGCTAGGCAGGGTTGTTTTAAAATTTTAAATGCTACTTTGTGCTGATTACTGCCACCTCTTCACAATTGTTTTTAGAAACAAGCCCTGGTTATTGGTGAACATTGTTGGTTTTAATTTTTTACTCTGTTGGTTGTTGTTTTTTCTATATTAATTATATTATTACTTAAATATTTATTAATAGTTTTTTTGTAATGCTTCTTTGCTATGGTTTTACTGCCAAATGCTGGACTAAAATCTGTCAACTTTTTTTATGCATAGCACTTTTTTCAAACTTAGCTCCTCCTGAAAGTTCTGTAGAACAGGAAGTTTATTGATTAAAAGTTTGGAGAAAGGCGAGGGGAAGACCAGCAATGAAATGAATAAATGATGTAGCTGAAACCTGCAAAAAGATAAACACATTCATCACTGAAACAACCCGAGAAGCGCAAGACTGAGACAAATACCGAAAACCAGGATACTGGGCTACAACTTGGTGTCAATGAGACGACAAAAGAAAGAAGAAAAGACTACAACTTGGTGTCAATGAGACGACAAAAGAAAGAAGAAAAGACTACAACTTGGTGTCAATGAGACGACAAAAGAAAGAAGAAAAGACTACAACTTGGTGTCAATGAGACGACAAAAGAAAGAAGAAAAGACTACAACTTGGTGTCAGTGAGACGACAAAAGAAAGAAGAAAAGACTACAACTTGGTGTCAATGAGACGACAAAAGAAAGAAGAAAAGACTACAACTTGGTGTCAATGAGACGACAAAAGAAAGAAGAAAAGACTACAACTTGGTGTCAATGAGACGACAAAAGAAAGAAGAAAAGACTACAACTTGGTGTCAATGAGACGACAAAAGAAAGAAGAAAAGACTACAACTTGGTGTCAATGAGACGACAAAAGAAAGAAGAAAAGACTACAACTTGGTGTCAATGAGACGACAAAAGAAAGAAGAAAAGACTACAACTTGGTGTCAATGAGACGACAAAAGAAAGAAGAAAAGACTACAACTTGGTGTCAATGAGACGACAAAAGAAAGAAGAAAAGACTACAACTTGGTGTCAATGAGACGACAAAAGAAAGAAGAAAAGACTACAACTTGGTGTCAATGAGACGACAAAAGAAAGAAGAAAAAAGACTACAACTTGGTGTCAATGAGACGACAAAAGAAAGAAGAAAAGACTACAACTTGGTGTCAATGAGACGACAAAAGAAAGAAGAAAAGACTACAACTTGGTGTCAATGAGACGACAAAAGAAAGAAGAAAAGACTACAACTTGGTGTCAATGAGACGACAAAAGAAAGAAGAAAAGACTACAACTTGGTGTCAATGAGACGACAAAAGAAAGAAGAAAAGACTACAACTTGGTGTCAATGAGACGACAAAAGAAAGAAGAAAAGACTACAACTTGGTGTCAATGAGACGACAAAAGAAAGAAGAAAAGACTACAACTTGGTGTCAATGAGACGACAAAAGAAAGAAGAAAAGACTACAACTTGGTGTCAATGAGACGACAAAAGAAAGAAGAAAAGACTACAACTTGGTGTCAATGAGACGACAAAAGAAAGAAGAAAAGACTACAACTTGGTGTCAATGAGACGACAAAAGAAAGAAGAAAAGACTACAACTTGGTGTCAATGAGACGACAAAAGAAAGAAGAAAAGACTACAACTTGGTGTCAATGAGACGACAAAAGAAAGAAGAAAAGACTACAACTTGGTGTCAATGAGACGACAAAAGAAAGAAGAAAAGACTACAACTTGGTGTCAATGAGACGACAAAAGAAAGAAGAAAAGACTAACACCAAATTCCCGTAGGCGACTTTTTAATGTGTTGAAAAAAAAATTACAATTACCGTAATTCTATTGCCCATTATCTCTCAGTGGAACTTAGACCCTCATCCATCTTGCAAACAAACAAAAAACGACAATTGAACACTCACAGAAAACAAACGGTTTGGAACAGAGCCATTTTCTTTTCTTGATTACCTTCCTCCAGACATCTGTAGATACGGGTTAATAAATGTAAATGTGGAGCATATTGTAAGTTTATAATCATGGTTCCAATTGAATGGCAAACGGATCACCTCTCAGTTGCTCTCTTCCTGTGCCAGTGACAAGTCAGATGTCAGTCCCGGCAAGATTACACAGGTCACACATACACAGTAAATGCATAAGGCAGCTGCCAGAGGTACCAACTAAAAATATAGTTCATAGTTGGCTGATACACCAGCCAAGAGAAATCAGCAGGTGTTCACACATTACTGCATAAGGCATATCACCAGCATATTCTTTCAGTGTATCATAGTTGCATTGCATAGAAATATTTAGTTGAGGTTGTTAGTGGCTTTGCTTGCCGAGGCAGAAGTCCTTGTTCAGTATCTATCAGTGCTAGGTTTCAGAAAAAAACTGATAGGAATTCTTTTCAAACATGATTTGAACACTTGAGCCCAGAATGTTTTAAAGTAGAGCACAGTTTGGCACAGCAGTCACAATGAAAAGTCATCAGTATATGACTTTTAAAGATACAGCATATACTGAGCTGCCTTTAAAACATTTGGCCAGATTTCTTTTCCGTACCCAGACCAAACAGAAAATAATTAATAACACACCATGTGTTGCGCTGATACACATAGGCATACACTAAACACACATATTGCATCGCTAGGGACAAACAAGAGATAAAATGGCCACTCAGAATCATAAAACAAACACTGGATAGTTTTTAAAATTTTGTATTTTCTGGGAAATTCTTCATGTTCACCAGCTGTAAACTCTGGTGGAAAGTTCTGGTTATTCATCCACTTCTGAACTTTAGCCTTCTTCCAGAACTTGAACGTTCATGTCTATGTTTGGTTGTATGCAGACTGTTGGTTCCTTGCCTCTCAAGCACATGTACACCTACTTCAAAGGAAACCCTAATTTTGTTGACCCTTATGACATGCTTGTTAAAGAGGCAGTAGTCTATACAGATGGGTCCTCACAAAGTGCAGTTAGAAATGGTGGTCCTGGAGTATACATATAATTCCCAGATGGTACTAGGGATAAGTCCAGCGTACCAACCGGGAATTACTGCCATAACTATGATGCAGAAACTCAGGCTATCAAGATAGCAATAGAGCAACTGCTAAATACTAATCTTGGCTCACAGTGTGTAGTAATGCTGACAGATGCTAAATCCGTTCTTGAGGCACTCTAGGAAACTACCAGAATTGCAAACACTGCTGACACAACTCAGCCTTCAGCGAAGAGTCATAATGCAGTGGATACCGTCTCATTGTGGAGTGCTGGAAATGAGAAAGCTGATCAACTGGCAGGGGAAGGTGCGACAAAAGTGCAGCTGGGTGTACCAGTCACATATCACCAAAAGAAAAGAATCATTGAATCGATCAGGACACCACCAGCCCCAGCACAAGACGACTATTTTATTATGGACAGACCAGAACAAGTCATTATCTTCCGCCTCAGAACAGGGCACATCCGATTATATAACCACATGTACACAAAATTTAAGATAGGCGTTTCAGCCATGTGCACCTGTGGAAAGGTGCCCCAGACCGCAGAGCATGTACTTCAGGACTGCACCAAATTTGACACGTTAAGGCAAACCTTTTGGCCAGAAAGAACAGTGGAACGTAAACTCTATGGACCACTGAATGAACTAACAACGACAGTGAAATTCATACTAGAGACAAAATTGCTGATATAGACAACTTATTTCAGGCGAACGAAAGAAGAAGGGAGGCAGTAGGTTTATTCTATTTGCCCCCGACACTGGGTCCCAGCACACAGGAATTCTGGAAAATATTTATTAAGGAATGACACTAAATAAAGAAATGGCATATCCATGCCACCTCATTATGTTGTGTCCTAGAATTGGAGAAAGCCGAGCACTTCACACCCTGAGGCCCATACCTGCCAGTTCATTCACCGCTACCTTGTTTAGAAAGAACAAGTGTAGTAAAAGTTCCCTACACCCTCCTCCTGGTAAACGATACAAAGTTCCCACCAAATATAATTCTGTTTCATAAAATTTCAAGTTTTTAAAAGTTTAATAAAACATAATAAACACTGCATTCTAAAATTACTCAGGTGGTTTTTGTGATACTTATAAAAATGTATCTTTGAGTTACCGGCGAGTGATGTTTGCTTTACGTTTTGCTTGCCCCACTAGCAACAACAGCCACCGCAGCCGAGAGCAAATGGCTGGTCAATCATCAAGACTCTGGTTATCCGAATGGTGTTCATATATTTCATTGCCAGTATGTTCCGGAGGTCTCCGGCACCTCAAGAAACCATCACCGCTGATGGGAAGGTGCAGCCTGCGCCAGTAGCCTCCAGTAATGTGTTTGATAAGTTTACTGTCATGGTGAGTGTCTAGTTGTAGTAATGTGTTTGATGGGTTTACTGTCATGGTGAGAGTCTAGTTGTAGTAATGTGTTTGATGAGTTTACTGTCATGGTGAGTGTCTAGTTGTAGTAATGTGTTTGATGGGTTTACTGTCATGGTGAGAGTCTATTTGTAGTAATGTGTTGGATAAGTTTACTGTCATGGTGAGAGTCTAGTTGTAGTAATGTGTTTGATGGGTTTACTGTTGTGGTATGAGTCTAGTTGTAGTAATGTGTTTGATGAGTTTACTGTCGTGGTGAGTCTAGTTGTAGTAATGTGTTTGATAAGTTTACTGTCGGGGTGAGTCTAGTTGTAGTAATGTGTTTGATAAGTTTACTGTCGGGGTGAGTCTAGTTGTAGTAATGTGTTTGATAAGTTTACTGTCATGGTGAGAGTCTAGTTGTAGTAATGTGTTTGATGAGTTTACTGTTGGGGTGAGAGTCTAGTTGTAGCAATGTGTTTGATAAGTTTACTGTCAGGGTGAGAGTCTAGTTGTAGTAATGTGTTTGATAAGTTTACTGTCATGGTCAGAGTCTAGCTGTAGTAATGTGTTTGTTAAGTTTACTGTCATGGTGAGTGTCTAGTTCTAGTAATGTGTTTGATAAGTTTACTGTCGTGGTGAGTTAGTTAGTTAGTTAGTTAGTTAGTTGGGTTATCCTCATTGCACTCCGGACATGTCCATAGGTGCTCAGATCCTCCCCTCAGTATGAACCCCAACGTCCGATGGCTAATAGTACCAGTTCTATGTTGATTAACAAGTCTTCTGGCGTAGCTGGTGTGCGTCTCGTTTTTTGCTGTGCCGATCTTAATTCCCAAGTCTGCCATTCTGGCGAGTGATGTGGATTCACTGCCACCAAAGTCCTCTATTCTTCCCATTTCTCTGAGGGCATTGATAATATCAGCATGATCCATAGGCTGACCGTCAGTAGTGATAGCGGATCCAGCTCTTTCATTTCCAACGACGACACCTGCATGTCCCCGAACAAAAATAAAGGTGACTCCACTCACAGTGGACTTCTGTAATGATTCAAGCCATTGTCTTCGCACTGAACCTGCCTGAACCCTCCGGATCATACTCATTGAATCACTGAGTATACACACGCGGGTGTATTTTTGTGTTTTCAAGCCAGGCAAGCGCTTGTGTCACTGCCATCACCTCCATCGTCATGCTGCTGGTTGTCATGGAGAAGGCGCCGTTGGCTTCTTTGACTGTTCTGCCCGCTGAGCGTGCTGTAAATGCCCATGCGCTTCTTCTTTGGCGTATAACGGATCCGTCTGTATAGATTATTGCATCTGCTTCGTCTGAATTTTCACCGATGAGAGCGTTGACCTCTGCATTAACAGCAACAGGATTCTCTTCTCTACATCGCCTGTTCAGTGTGACAATACAGGAAAATGTACAAATAAACGCCTGAGGCACAGGTATCCATTCTGCACCAGGTATGATGTCGGTTAGGCTGCATATTTGCCTAATGACATCTTCTGCCCGACCTAGCCACGATTTCCCCCTCTTCAGTCTGTCGCCCTTTTCACTAAAAAGCGCTTGATGCAGTGGGTGTTTCTTATCAGCGCATATTTTGAGATATGCCCGAGCCCTCCACATCCTGATCCTTTGGTTCATTGTTGGAAAGTCAAGTAGATACCTCATTGCTCCACAGGATGTGTCTCTAGTACATCCCAAAATAATGCGCATGGCTTCATTTTGCACCTTTTCGAGTCGTTCAATCTGGGTAGCACTGACAGTGAGGATGGCCAGAGCGTATTCTATGGGGGAAAGGACCAGACCGTAGAATAGAAGTATTAGTAGTCTTTGCTCAATATTGGAAGCAGCCATAATCCTCATTGCAGATAGACCTTTGCGTGCTTTTGTTATCACATGGTCAACGTGTTCCCTGAATGACAAGCTGCGATCGAACCTCACCCCGAGAAACGTCATAACGTTGGTTCTGATCAATGCATTATCACGCATTTTCACTTCTGGTAAGTCCGACTTGACAATGTGATTGTTCAAAGAGAACCATGACACTGATGCCTTCGAAGGATTGACATAGGCATTGGAACCATCACACCAGGCGGCAATTCGATCGAGTTCTTTGTGCATAGTGCTGGCGATCTCCTGTCTATCACGCCCTCGTCGATAAATCAAAATGTCATCAGCAAATGACAAAGTCCTTCCCTTTCCATTCAACTGCTGCTCAGTGATCATCACCGTGTAAACGTTGAATAAGACTGGTGATAGCGGTGATCCCTGTGGCAAGCCTGGACATATCATTTGCGGTTCGGAGGACCAGCTACCACATCTTAGTACAATCTTTCTCTGGAACAGGACCGCAGCAATCCAGCGGATCAGAATAGGATTAACTTCTAGTTTAAGCAGTAATTGCATTAAATAATCGTATGGTACTTTATTGTAGGCATCTTCTAAGTCCAACACTGCCGCACATGTCTCTTCTTTAATCTGAAATCCCTCGTACACATCGTAGGCGAAAACTGCAGCATTGAACCATGTCTCTTTATTTAACCTGTACCCTCCAAGTGTTGGTGGGAACTTATCATGTAGTTCCAAGTAGGTGGTCAATCTTTGTGCGACAATTTTTTCCAAAAGTTTGCCAACAGTATTCTGCATCGAGATGATTCTGTAGCCGCAGATCTTTGAGTGGTCTTTATTAGGCTTTGGTAGTGGGAACAAATAACTATGGAGCCATTCCTCTTGTATCTGGCCACTCTGGATGCTGATATTGAATTCCTTTGCCACGCTTTTCAAATCAGCATTCGACATCATCAGCATGTCGTTGTATCGGATGCCGTCAGGGCCTGGAGCAGTGCTGCGCGATTTCTTGAGGCAAGTTCTTAAGGTATCTGCAGTGATTGTGAGATCAGTGCCTAACACAGTGTTCTCGCACAGCATCGACAGTTTCATCTTAACCCCTATTCTTGTAGCTTCGTCTTTTTGGTCAGTTTGCTCCAAGTAGCGCGACAGAAGGGTTTTTCCTTTATCAGCATCAGTTCTCTGCCATATCAGGTCTGTACCCTGAAAATCAGGGATACCCCTAGGTCGTGCGGCGCCGTGCATGCTCCGTTGAAGGCGCCAGAATGTCACAAGAGATCCCTCGGAGCAAACGCTCTTGCAGAATTTCGCTGTCTTAGCTTCCTTCGCAATTACCTTGAAAGCCACTGTCTGCTTGTTGACCTCATCTTTCAGACTGGTGAGTGTCGTGGTGAGTGTCTAGTTGTAGTAATGTGTTTGATAAGTTTACTGTCGTGGTGAGAGTCTAATTGTAGTAATGTGTTTGATAAGTTTGCTGTCTTGGTGACACACTAGCTGTATTGTGTTTGATGAGTTTACTGTCATGATGAGACTCTAGCTGTAGTAATGTGTTTGATAAGTTTACTGTCATGGTGACATACTAGTTGTAATGTGTTTGATGAGTTTACTGTCATGGTGACATACTAGTTGTAATGTGTTTGATGAGTTTACTGTCTTAGTGACACACTAGTTGTAATGTTTTTGACGAGTTTACTGTCTTGGTGACATACTAGTTGTAATGTGTTTGATGAGTTTACTGTCTTGGTGACATACTAGTTGTAATGTTTTTGATGAGTTTACTGTCTTGGTGACATACTAGTTGTAATGTGTTTGATGAGTTTACTGTTTTGGTGACATACTAGTTGTAATGTTTTTGATTAGTTTATTGTCTTGGTGACATACTAGTTGTAATGTGTTTGATGAGTTTATTGTCTTGGTGACATACTAGTTGTAACGTTTTTGATGAGTTTATTGTCTTGGTGACATACTAGTTGTAATGTGTTTGATGAGTTTAATGTCTTGGTGACATACTAGTTGTAATGTGTTTGAGAAGTTTAATGTCTTGGTGACATACTAGTTGTAATGTGTTTGAGAAGTTTAATGTCTTGGTGACATACTAGTTATAATGTGTTTGAGAAGTTTAATGTCTTGGTGACATACTAGTTGTAATGTGTTTGAGAAGTTTAATGTCTTGGTGACATACTAGTTGTAATGTTTTTGATGAGTTTAATGTCTTGGTGACATACTAGTTGTAATGTGTTTGAGAAGTTTAATGTCTTGGTGACATACTAGTTGTAATGTGTTTGAGAAGTTTAATGTCTTGGTGACATACTAGTTGTAATGTTTCTGATGAGTTTAATGTCTTGGTGACATACTAGTCGTAATGTTTTTGATGAGTTTACTGTCTTGGTGACACACTAGTTGTAATGTGTTTGATGAGTTTACTGTCTTGGTGACACACTAGTTGTAATGTGTTTGATGAGTTTACTGTCTTGGTGACACTAGTTGTAATATGTTTGATGAGTTTACTGTCTTGGTGACACACTAGTTGTAACGTGTTTGATGAGTTTACTGTCTTGGTGACATACTAGTTGTAATGTGTTTGATGAGTTAAATGATTCCAGTTTTTATCAATTTTTTACATTTTATTTAACAGTGTTAATATTTAAGTTTAAAAAAAAAATCTTTTTAAAAATTTTCTTATATGTGTATTATTCTTTACAGCATTTAAGATAGAAGAAATTTCTAAACGATACACACTAAATATTTTGTGGAGCCCAGCAGGAGGAAGTCATTTGGTGCTGGATAGAAATGGATAATTTGGCATGGACTTTGGATAAAATAATCACACTTATGATTTAAGAGAAACGTGAAAAGCGTCAAACAGATAGGGTCACGCTATCTACTTTATTGTAAAGAGACTTGTAATTATCGGGTTTTTATTTTAGGACTTTGTGACAGTCCGTCCGTGTTACAACTTTAATATGAGTGAGAATCTTTGTTTATGGTTTTCATTTCTGACGATGAGACTTCGGATACTTACATGTGTTTATATTTTGGACAATTTTTAGGATATGTATGTGTATATCTCGGAGCAAGAAGAGTTTACAGACTTCAAAAATGAGAATGCCCTGTTTTGGTTGGAGCCGGGCCTCATTTATGGGGACTGGACTGGGGGACCAAATAGTGATGGTACATATGAGAAATCAGGTGTTATCACAGCTTCAGAGGTAAGGTGTTTCTGTGATTTATAAATATAAAAAGAATGAATATTTTTTATAAAACAATTGAAACACAGTTTCTGCTTTCCTTCACCTTTAATGGTGTTTTGTATTCTAGATTATGGGGTGATTCTGTTATTGAATGTATATTAAAGAATGAAAGTTAACAAACAAGCTAGACAGTTTCTTGAGGCCTCAGTAATGTGGTTTCACACAAGTGTACTTACAATTCTTTAGACAGCGAAATAAGTAGCCCAGATGTTTTGAATGAGTCTAGGGTCCAAAGAACACTTATTGCAAACATCAGGAGACGGTCATAAATTTGTGTTCATGTTATCAGAAGAGGATAACTGGTACCTGTTGTGACCTCTGGAAAAAAAGGGAGACAACATGATATTCTTGACTGCCCATTGTTCCATTATGGAACATAAACTGATGCAAGTTGTAGATTGCAGGTTGTGGAGAGCCATTTCATCCACACAGTCAGCAACAATATATATTGTGTGTTGTATATTTTGTACTTTTATGCTAGTGTGTACTAGTAGCCACATCCAAAGCAACAGTCTTGTGGAAATCCTTATTAGTGAACGCTCATTCATTGTACAAAATGCAGCATTTAACACTACCTATTTTTAGCTATCAACATGATTTGAATGGTTTGAGGGAGGGGTTACCAAGAACAGTGTTCAGGTTTTGTGTGACCTATTTTCACCTGCTGTATGTATGGGTTGTGGGAATGGTCGTTGAGAGCGTTGGAGTTTTGAGTGACGTTTAATTAATTGAACAGTGGAGTGTTGATCGGTGCAGCAGAGCATATTTTGTGTGGAATAATTTGTGTTCAGTAAGTTGCTGATATCTGTGCAACAAGAGTTTCATCTGCCACTTGATGACAATCAGCAGTGTAGGCTGCACCTTGAAATAAAAGTGGTCAGTGGATGTGCTCAGTTGTGTGAGACTGGATCCATACAGGATAAAGCCCATACTCATCAAAACGCCATCTGGCGAGCTGGAAATGTTGAGAGTGTAAGAGGCAAATAGTGCAGTGGTATTTCCAACTCTTGTTGGAAAGAAATGTGCAACAGTTTTCACACATTTCCATCTTCACCTGTCAAAACAGCAAATCCTCCAGAAATGAACTGTTATGTTGCACACAAAGCGTTGCCTTTCCGTTGTTGCCAGTGAATTGTGCACCTGTGTCACATTGATCGTTATAACACCTGTTCAACCAGGTTGTGATGTATCAATTTTTTATTTTTAAATCCCGTTTGTAGGCTGTTCAGAACAACGGATCGCTATACATCCATGTCTACTTTGTGAAAGAAGGAAAGTCACCTGACCCAGCTGATAGAGCAGCAAAGACTTACTCAAAAAAGTATACAGCTCAGAGATCTAGAAGTAAGCCATTTTCTTGTGTTTTTATTAATTGCTGTTTCCAAATGTGAAATTTTGACGTTTGAAGACTACTTCAATTAGTGTTTGGATGGTAAAATATTGTTTCTTTCTTTTTACTGTGGAGTGTTTTTTGTTTCTTCAGCTGTTATTTAGCCACAGACAAGATGTATGAATACGGTTGTTTAAGTTTCTACTGGGATGACAGTTTCCTTGATATTTCATCTCTCTCTTTTTCTTCAACTCAAGGACTGAATAAATTCAAAAAGAGGAAATTCCGCAAAACAGTAAACCTTCTTACAGGCCAGACAGACGTCCATCCTGACCTCATTCAGGTATTTGCTGATGTAACTCGTATAATTCATGTATTTGTACAACTTGTGTGTGTGTGTACATGTCTGTATCATCGCCATGTGCCCTGCCAGAAAGTATAGACTGTCATGTTTTGCCCGGGGGGGGGGGGGGGGGGGGGGGGGGGGGGGGGGGGGGTGCTTTCAAATCCAGCTGCAGCCCACGGCGGGTGTTGGAGGAATGTGTGGGCAGGCGGTTCCTTATCAGCTGTCCGTACAGCTCTTGTGGTTTATAACTGTGTGCAATGATGCGGGTTGACATCTCCCGACTTGACCTTTACATTGCAAACATGACACCCGTTATATTATCAGCTGTGGGGTTACTTTGGTACAGTTTACTGAACTCACTGTGGGTTGTCCTCTTGGTGTCCCAGTTATAACTTCTTTGGAGGTTGAACAGGGTATCAGGGATTTATGCTGTAAAGTTAGAGATTTGGTCATCTTAAAATAATAGCCTGGAAAAGAAATGGGGGGGGGGGCACTGGGGTATTTATTCATCTGATTGTGTGCAGGGAGACATTGGACAACATTGTCTGCTTCTTCTTATATCTTACTGCTAATGCTGTCAAGTGTCACACAAAGGAGTTAGGTGTGATTTCCTGTCTTGTGCTAGTTGTGTAGCTTGTGTTAATGTCATTGCATTCCTCTAGTGTCTTTTTTACTCCCTCTACCCATTTATTTTCTTAGTCGGCCTCTTGACTTGTAGCCTGCTGTTCTTGTGTAGTGCACTCACTGCTGGCTGATTTTGTTATGTTCTGAGCAGATGACCAAACCATTCGAATCTTTGGTGTTCTATGAAGTCATTCAACTCCACTCTGCCTACTTTTGTTCTTAGTTCTTCATTGATGTCTGTCTCTCCTCTTTTTTTTTCCACAACAGTTTTTCTTAAACATCTCTTCACACATGTTGTAATTGGACAACATCATGGTGCTGGAAAGTTGTTTGGCAAGTGGGATAGAAGTAGACTGAGAGAAGTAATATTGGTTGGTCCATTGTCTTTCTTGGGGTAATACCATAAATACGGCCTGCCTCGTAAGTTTCCGTACACAGGACAAATAAACATATCACCAACGCCATCACAGCATAACCCCAGCTGTGCTTCTACATGTTCTTCAGGAGTGGAGACACATCAACATGTGTCTGTAAAACAACAGGGTTTAAAAAAAATGTAATTGTGGAAACTTATGGGGCACCTGTAGAATTAACCCAGAACACAGACCTGTTTGAGCTATGGATGCTTGTGTTATCTAATAGGGCACATGATGATGATATGAGAAAATAAAGTAATGGGGTTTATATGTTTCCTATTTCAGAAAGAAAATGCTTCTACATTTGAAATCTTGTCCCACTGGCATCCAAACTTGACCATTAATCTACTGGATGACCATTCTCCTTGGGTCAGTGGCTCTGTCCCACAGCCACTTGATGAATGTAAGTATAAGTAGATATAGCCATAGAAATGAACTCTATATTATCAAAATGCAACCTTCCCCTGTAGATTTCTAGGTTAGTTGCATGTCCTTTACAGGATGTTGCAGAACCAACCCCAACAACCCCTGGCTGTTGTGTGGGTTTTTTTTAAGGCAAATTTACGTCCAGTAGTTTGCCATTGTTTTCTGGGCGGTCGGCTTTCTTGATACCACTGTTGAAACCAGCGCATGGCCGGCAGCTGGGTTTGAACTCAGAATTACGAAGCCTTTGCATCGACTTAGCCACAGAGCCGACGCCATGTAGATTACCGAGCTCCATTTTGGAGAGAAAAAATAGGTCAGTGTCCCCAACAAGCATGTCGAGGCGACTAATCAGGGGTATTTCCTTCAAAGTTGAAGTGCCTCTGCCTGAGAAGCACGGAATCAACAATCTGTATAGAGATTAGCAGAAAACTGATGTGCACACAAAGTGGACAGTTGGTGAACAAGAGTAATTGCAACCACAGTGGTGTAGTGTTTAGCAGGGTTACCTGACAAGACAGTGACATGGGCTCAAGTCTCCAGTAGAGACAGGTTTGTTTTTACTGCTGTGGGTCTGTTGCTTGGCACCCTTTTCGCAGCAGCGGGGCATTGGGCATGTGGTGCCAGACTCAGTGTTTTTCCAAATCTGCCAGCGGGAACCATGGACTTTAGCGTCATGGCCACTGCCTTCTATTTCCCAGCGGGAGCCAAGAACTTCAGTAAAAGTTACAATTGAGAGAATTTACTTTATTGCCCCCTGGTGTGATCCCATATGACTCAGTCTCTCCCTGCTGAATGACTAGCACTTGCTAAGAGCCTTGGTGAAAACATGAATGGCGTAGCTCCAGCGGTGATCTCCCAGGGCTCTATTAAAAACAAAACTCTTGACCTGAACTGCGCGCCTGAAAAGAACCCACAACTTATAGTTCATAACACATTTTTGCATGTTATATCTTACATTCAACACTTCAGATATCGAGTTCATACCTGCCTCCAACAAGTACTACCCTGTAATCTACTTCAACGACTACTGGAACCTCAACCAGGACTACACGCCCATCAATGACACGACCAAGTAAGTGCTGATTCGTTGTAGTTTGAGGGACCCCTGATACATAAGTCTTTTACCTCGTAGCTGTGCTGATTCATTGTTGTTTAAGGGACCCCTGATACATAAGTCTTTTACCTCGTAGCTGTGCTGATTCGTTGTTGTTTAAGGGACCCCTGATACATAAGTCTTTTACCTCGTAGCTGTGCTGATTCGTTGTTGTTTGAGGGACCACTAATATGTTAGTCATTTTCCTCATGGCCTTATGCGTCTGGCAGCGTCGTGTCTCAGAAACTGAAATACCCTGGCCATGTTAAATACCCTGGCCATGTTAAATACCCCTGCGACTGGAAAGAACATTTTTAAGGCTAGTTCTGCAAGGAGAGGCAGGATTGAACCATTTTGAAGATTGACACAGGATTTTGAAGATACTTTGAACATACCAAAAGCATGATGCTGGGGAGCTGGTAAAGGGTTTAGAATCTTTTTAAGTGAGTCTTCGAAGTCCCCATATATGTTCTGGGTTGGCGGGGTGGGGAAGCATAGACCCTCTGCCCCTGTAACAAGCGGCAACTAATTTGTTTTAAAAAAAAGTCTACTGAGTTGGCTGAAAAGCGCAGATATCGCAACATAGCTATGACCATAAAATACAGTGCTGAACACTCTGTTGTTAAGTCAAGCAGAGAATACAAATTAATTCTTTACAGGCTTTGCATGAGTTAATTGAGGACATATCTACATTGGGGAATCAGAAAAGGAATTTTGTGTGTGTAAATGATTGCATCCCAATCACTCTGTTGTTTCAGATTCTTGAACTTGTCCCTGACGTACAGCCCCATGTCATTGTTCAAATGGCAGCTGTATGCCGCCCAGGGGATGCGTAACAAATGGGTCAACATGCTGGGCTCAGAAGGAGGGGAGGAAGAAGAGGATCAAGATTCACTGAAGGTATCAAGCTGTGCACATCACTGTTTTTGTCAGAAATTAAGGCACACTTGTTGTTCTCAAAATAGGCCCTATAATTAGGCTGCGTCTTATACAGTGAAAGTTAACCTATGCTTGCCGTTATTTTTCAACACTTGTTCTCAAAATAGGCCCTATAATTAGGCTGCGTCTTATACAGTGAAAGTTAACCTATGCTTGCCGTTATTTTTCAACACTTGTTGTTCTCAAAATAGGCCCTATAATTAGGCTGCGTCTTATACAGTGAAAGTTAACCTACGCTTGCCGTTATTTTTCAACACTTGTTGTTCTCAAAATAGGCCCTATAATTAGGCTGCGTCTTATACAGTGAAAGTTAACCTACGCTTATCGTTATTTTTCATAGTTGCTAGCACTTTATTTTGTCATTTCCAAGATCTCATAATGCTCTGTGTTCGAGCGATAAAGATGCGACCTTTGAATGAGACAGAGAGGACAATACTAGTATCATGTGGGAAATGCATGGCTGTGGAACCCATAACTCTTTGTAGGTAGTAGTATTTCATCACATAATACTAAAAGTTGATTGCTTGTGGATCCCTGAATACTTATTGTAGGTATTTTAGTCAAATTTTCAAAATGCCCTCTACACCAATAAAACCAGCACAGTTAGATAGCTGTAAACAATCTCTACCTCATTTAGGCTTGTATGTCATTTCTGAGCTGAGATAATGCCTTATTGCATCACTATTTCTTTATGTTGCTTATCGCATCAGTCAATATTTTCAGCTCATATGTTACAGCTGCAGATCAGACTTGTTCTGTGCCGGTAGTTCATAAGACTGTCTACACAATCACAATTTCTGTATGGCAAAAGTTTGTTCTGGAACATTTCTTTCAGTTTTTGTGGAGAGCCTTATACATCGACAAGTACGGGACATAGCAGTTTGACTGTCTGTTGGAGATAATGCAAGCCAGAATGATATTGACTAAATCATCACCGTTGAGTGTCAGTTGTCCATAAAAATATCTGTCTTGCTCAGATACCTCATACTTCTTGATTCTCTCAGTGGGCCCTCTATATTTTTATTTTTTTAACTTTGTTTATTGACCTGAAATGATATAAAACCAGATAAAAAGTAGAGCCAGTCAGCTTCACAATAACACAAATGACAAATAAATATTGCAGCCAAAGAGCTTTCGTCAGCACACACAGATGACAAATGAATATTGCAGCCAAAGAGCTTTCGTCAGCACACACAGATGACAAACGAATATTGCAGCCAAAGAGCTTTCGTCAGCACACACAGATGACAAATGAATATTGCAGCCAAAGAGCTTTCGTCAGCACACACAGATGACAAACGAATATTGCAGCCAAAGAGCTTTCGTCAGCACACACAAATGACAAACGAATATTGCAGCCAAAGAGTTTTCGTCAGCACGCTCAGATGACAAACGAATATTGCAGCCAAAGAGCTTTCATCAGCACACACACAGATGACAAACGAATATTGCAGCCAAAGAGTTTTCGTCAGCACGCTCAGATGACAAACGAATATTGCAGCCAAAGAGTTTTCGTCAGCACACACAGATGACAAATGAATATTGCAGCCAAAGAGCTTTCGTTAGCACACACAGATGACAAACGAACATTGCAGCCAAAGAGCTTTCGTTAGCACACACAGATGACAAATGAATATTGCAGCCAAAGAGCTTTCGTTAGCACACACAGATGACAAATGAATATTGCAGCCAAAGAGCTTTCGTTAGCACACACAGATGACAAACGAATATTGCAGCCAAAGAGCTTTCGTCAGCACACACAAATGACAAACGAATATTGCAGCCAAAGAGTTTTCGTCAGCACGCTCAGATGACAAACGAATATTGCAGCCAAAGAGCTTTCATCAGCACACACACAGATGACAAACGAATATTGCAGCCAAAGAGTTTTCGTCAGCACGCTCAGATGACAAATGAATATTGCAGCCAAAGAGCTTTCGTTAGCACACACAGATGACAAACGAACATTGCAGCCAAAGAGCTTTCGTTAGCACACACAGATGACAAATGAATATTGCAGCCAAAGAGCTTTCGTTAGCACACACAGATGACAAATGAATATTGCAGCCAAAGAGCTTTCATTAGCACATGACATAAAGCTACAATCCTATAGGTGTGAACAAGAGTGTACACAAATCCCTTAACTCTGAGAGAAATCACATTTGAATGTTGAATAAAGAATGGACATCACAGCACTCAGGACACTCCCATAAGTGCTCAGTCCCCATCTTCAGCAGCAAGCGAAGAGTTCCAGTCCCGATGGTACCAGTGACGGTCTGATTGTAAATCCGTCTCATCCTTCCCTTGTATCTGTCTCATCCTTCCCTTGTATCTGTCTCATCCTTCCCTTGTATCTGTCTCACCCTTCCCTTGTATCTGTCTCACCCTTCCCTTGTATCTGTCTCATCCTTCCCTTGTATCTGTCTCATCCTTCCCTTGTATCTGTCTCACCCTTCCCTTGTATCTGTCTCATCCTTCCCTTGTATCTGTCTCATTCTTCCCTTGTATCTGTCTCATCCTTCCCTTGTATCTGTCTCATCCTTCCCTTGTATCTGTCTCATCCTTCCCTTGTATCCGTCTCACCCTTCCCTTGTATCCGTCTCACCCTTCCCTTGTATCCGTCTCACCCTTCCCTTGTATCTGTCTCACCCTTCCCTTGTATCTGTCTCACCCTTCCCTTGTATCTGTCTCACCCTTCCCTTGTATCTGTCTCACCCTTCCCTTGTATCTGTCTCATCCTTCCCTTGTATCTGTCTCATCCTTCCCTTGTATCTGTCTCATCCTTCCCTTGTATCTGTCTCATCCTTCCCTTGTATCTGTCTCATCCTTCCCTTGTATCTGTCTCATCCTTCCCTTGTATCTGTCTCACCCTTCCCTTGTATCTGTCTCATCCTGCCCTTGTATCTGTCTCATCCTGCCCTTGTATCTGTCTCACCCTTCCCTTGTATTTGTCTCACCCTTCCCTTGTATCCGTCTCACCCTTCCCTTGTATCTGTCTCACCCTTCCCTTGTATCTGTCTCATCCTTCCCTTGTATCTGTCTCACCCTTCCCTTGTATCTGTCTCACCCTTCCCTTGTATCTGTCTCACCCTTCCCTTGTATCTGTCTCACCCTTCCCTTGTATCCGTCTCACCCTTCCCTTGTATCCGTCTCACCCTTCCCTTGTATCCGTCTCACCCTTCCCTTGTATCAGTCTCACCTTTCCCTTGTATCTGTCTCACCCTTCCCTTGTATCTGTCTCACCCTTCCCTTGTATCTGTCTCATCCTTCCCTTGTATCTGTCTCACCCTTCCCTTGTATCCGTCTCACCCTTCCCTTGTATCCGTCTCACCCTTCCCTTGTATCCGTCTCACCCTTCCCTTGTATCCGTCTCACCCTTCACTTGTATCTGTCTCACCCTTCCCTTGTATCTGTCTCACCCTTCCCTTGTATCTGTCTCATCCTTCCCTTGTATCTGTCTCACCCTTCCCTTGTATCTGTCTCATCCTTCCCTTGTATCCGTCTCACCCTTCCCTTGTATCCGTCTCACCCTTCCCTTGTATCCGTCTCACCCTTCCCTTGTATCTGTCTCATCCTTCCCTTGTATCTGTCTCACCCTTCCCTTGTATCTCTCACCCTTCCCTTGTATCCGTCTCACCTTTCCCTTGAGTGTTGGGAGTCGCTAACCCCATTGGTAACTCCTCACAGAGACATTCTCCTCAGACCGTAATGATCTATTTGTGCCTCCGCACTGTTCACTCGCTCCCAAAGGGTGCTCACAATATCTAACTTGTCATACATCAATTCACCACCAAGTGATGCAGAGCCAACCAGTCTATCTGCCTGCTCATTTCCCAACACACCAACATAACCTAGAGAAAATATCCAAAGGATGCTAACTACTCAGGATCTCTGAAGTGATGCTTGCCTCTTTGCACAAAAATCACATATCTGTCCAGCCAGTAGAATGTCTAACCAGGGCCAGCTGAAAGTTTAAGATATTAGATAAAACTTTTGGATGTTCAGTCCCCTGGGTGAATTGACCTGAGACTGGGGGGCATTCTTTAGCTTCACAAGTGTTTCAGATGATATTTCTTATACATACGTTAAATATATCTTCACATGTTTTATGTATTTCTCGTACGTATGTTCGTGCGTATGTACATTCATACATACATACATACATTGACTATATCTTCGCAGATGTTTCAGATATTTCTCATGCATATATTGATCATATCTTGACGTATGTTTCAGATGGCATTCCTAGAGACTAGTCCCTACCTGCTGGCAATGACAATTATAGTATCCATACTTCACAGCATCTTTGAGTTTCTGGCCTTTAAAAATGGTAAGGGTTTTATATTCTTGAATGAAACAGTGTGTGTGTGTGTGCGTGCGTCCTTTTCCCGGAACTGAGTTTTGCATGCACATTTATTTTCTGTATTTGGCTTATTTGTTTGCAGGCTGTTGGTTCCTGGTCTTTCAGGTGGATGAACTTAACTTCAATGGAAACACACTAATTAGCAGCCACCTTTGACATGCTTGTTGGGAAGGGGAAGGCAGTGGGTCTATTTTGTGTTCCCTTAAAATGAAACCCATGAACCCATTATGTGGAAGACTGGGTCAGTGATTGGGAGGGTCATGCAGTGAACATTTTACTAAGAAGAGAAATATCGCAGTCATCAGACATCTGAACATGACTGAAAGTGTGGACTTGACCTAGTTATATCCCAGTATTCTATAACGGGTCTAGTTTGTTTAGAATGAGTGGAAAGGTGTTCTGCATGCCTGAAAATAATGGAGATATATTGAGATAGTTTGTTGTTTCCACACAGATATCCAGTTCTGGAAATCGAGGAAGTCTCTGGAAGGTCTGTCAGTGCGATCAGTCTTCTTCAACGTGATCCAGTCACTGATTGTTCTCTTATACATCATGGACAATGAAACCAACACAGTGGTGAAGATCAGTGTGTTCATCGGACTCTGTATTGAGATTTGGAAGATCAACAAGGTTGTCAATGCTCAGGTTAGAGAAATGATCAAGGCTCTCTTTCTTCTGTCTCTGTTTTCTCCTCTGCTTCCATCCTCTTCTATTCCCTCTCAATGTTTGTCTTTCCCTCTCTTGTCTTTGTGTTTTAATTATCCTTTTGTTATCTATGACTCTCTCTCTCTTTTTGACTTTTCTTTAGAAAAAAATTTAATTATTTTGTGTGGATAATTGACTTCTAACAATTTTATTTGACAGTCATCTGAATGTTTTTATGCATATAACTTTCCAGTATTTTGAATAATCAATTTGGGCCACTCTAATAATACATATACACTGTGTCCATAAAGACATGGTGCACCTTTGACCAGTCACAGGAAAGCAGCAAAAGAAGATAAGAGTGTGAAATCTGCACCAAGTAAAAGGAAAACTCCAAGTTTCCTAGTATCATATGCAAGCGTGTGAGCACACAGGTGATGGTGCAACACCACAAACTTTTTTGTTAACTAGACATCTTTAACCGTGTGTGGGAAGAACTTGAAAATTGTTTAGATGTGTGAAGGGCAACAAATGGAAGCCACACCAAACTGCACTGGAAAGGTACGAAGCATGGAGAGTTTTCCTTTCATTTAATGAAGGTTTCTTATATCTGTCTTGTTTCGTTGATTTCCTGTGACTGGTCAAAAGCACACCATGACATTACAGACACGCTAATATACCTTTGACTGAACTAAAACATTTTCATCATCATCTCTATAAATGTTATTGCCAGATATGCATTTACAATGTGTCTATTAATTTGAGTATCAAACAGTTGCATGATTATTTTAAAACTGATTTCAGTCCCAATTTCAGACCTTGCATTACCTTATTTTCTGTTGGGGAGCTCTTGTGGTGTAGTGCTTAGAGGCTCACCATCAGATCCGATTTGAGGCCAGAATTGTTTTCAAACGTGACTTTGGCTCCCAAGTCGACCCAGCCATAAATTGATACCAGGTATGTCCTGGGAAGTAAAGGCAGCCGGTGTGATGCTGGCCACGTCACCTACAGAGGGCCGATTGGTGTATCAAATACAGGTCTGGCCCTCTATACCCAATATGACTGAAGGCTTACAAAAGGGTCCTTTATGTCCTAAGCCATGACTGTTGACACATTGACCTCTCGGTGTCATGTTTTTGTGGCCCTTGCCATGACTGTTGACACATTGACCTCTCGGTGTCATGTTTTTGTGGCCCTTGCCATGACTGTTGACACATTGACCTCTCGTTGTCATGTTTTTGTGGCCCTTGCCATGACTGTTGACACATTGACCTCTCGTTGTCATGTTTTTGTGGCCCTTGCCATGACTGTTGACACATTGACCTCTCGGTGTCATGTTTTTGTGGCCCTTGCCATGACTGTTGACACATTGACCTCTCGGTGTCATGTTTTTGTGGCCCTTGCCATGACTGTTGACACATTGACCTCTCGGTGTCATGTTTTTGTGGCCCTTGCCATGACTGTTGACACATTGACCTCTCGGTGTCATGTTTTTGTGGCCCTTGCCATGACTGTTGACACATTGACCTCTCGGTGTCATGTTTTTGTGTGGCCCTTGCCATGACTGTTGACACATTGACCTCTCGGTGTCATGTTTTTGTGGCCCTTGCCATGACTGTTGACACATTGACCTCTCGGTGTCATGTTTTTGTGTCCCTTGCCATGACTGTTGACACATTGACCTCTCGGTGTCATGTTTTTGTGTCCCTTGCCATGACTGTTGACGCATTGACCTCTCGGTGTCATGTTTTTTGTGGCCCTTGCCATGACTGTTGACACATTGACCTCTCGGTGTCATGTTTTTGTGGCCCTTGCCATGACTGTTGACACATTGACCTCTCGGTGTCATGTTTTTTGTGGCCCTTGCCATGACTGTTGACACATTGACCTCTCGGTGTCATGTTTTTGTGGCCCTTGCCATGACTGTTGACACATTGACCTCTCGGTGTCATGTTTTTGTGGCCCTTGCCATGACTGTTGACACATTGACCTCTCGGTGTCATGTTTTTGTGGCCCTTGCCATGACTGTTGACACATTGACCTCTCGGTGTCATGTTTTTGTGTCCCTTGCCATGACTGTTGACACATTGACCTCTCGGTGTCATGTTTTTGTGTCCCTTGCCATGACTGTTGACGCATTGACCTCTCGGTGTCATGTTTTTGTGGCCCTTGCCATGACTGTTGACACATTGACCTCTCGGTGTCATGTTTTTGTGGCCCTTGCCATGACTGTTGACACATTGACCTCTCGGTGTCATGTTTTTGTGGCCCTTGCCATGACTGTTGACACATTGACCTCTCGGTGTCATGTTTTTGTGTCCCTTGCCATGACTGTTGACGCATTGACCTCTCGGTGTCATGTTTTTGTGGCCCTTGCCATGACTGTTGACACATTGACCTCTCGGTGTCATGTTTTTTGTGGCCCTTGCCATGACTGTTGACACATTGGGACCTCTCGGTGTCCATGTTTTTGTGGCCCTTGCCATGACTGTTGACACATTGACCTCTCGGTGTCATGTTTTTGTGGCCCTTGCCATGACTGTTGACACATTGACCTCTCGGTGTCATGTTTTGTGGCCCTTGCCATGACTGTTGACACATTGACCTCTCGGTGTCCATGTTTTTGTGTCCCTTTGCCATGACTGTTGACACATTGACCTCTCGGTGTCATGTTTTTTGTGTCCCTTGCCATGACTGTTGACGCATTGACCTCTCGGTGTCATGTTTTTTTGTGGCCCTTGCCATGACTGTTGACACATTGACCTCTCGGTGTCATGTTTTTTTTTTGGTTGGCCCTTTGCCATGACTGTTGACACATTGACCTCTCGGTGTCATGTTTTTGTGGGCCCCTTGCCATGACATGACTGTTGACACATTGACCTCTCGGTGTCATGTTTTTTGTGTCCCTTGCCATGACTGTTGACGCATTGACCTCTCGGTGTCATGTTTTTGTGGCCCTTGCCATGACTGTTGACACATTGACCTCTCGGTGTCATGTTTTTGTGGCCCTTGCCATGACTGTTGACACATTGACCTCTCAGTGTCATGTTTTTGTGGCCCTTGCCATGACTGTTGACACATTGACCTCTCGGTGTCATGTTTTTGTGGCCCTTGCCCATGACTGTTGACACATTGACCTCTCTCGGTTGTCATGTTTTTTTTGTGTGGCCCTTGCCATGACTGTTGACACATTGACCTCTCGGTGTCATGTTTTTGTGTCCCTTGCCATGACTGTTGACACATTGACCTCTCAGTGTCATGTTTTTGTGTCCCTTGCCATGACTGTTGACACATTGACCTCTCAGTGTCATGTTTTTGTGGCCACCTTTTTGTATGTTTTAGCTGGACAGGGAGAACAAGATACTGGGCATCATCCCAAGACTGAAGTTTTCTGAGAAATCAACATACACAGAGTCTCACACAAAAGAATATGATATTGTAAGTATGCCCCAGGTTTCTTTCTACTACAGACAGTACATTATAATAATAATGATCTTTTCGACTGAGAGGATAATTAATACTGAAGTACTCTATAACACACTGGGAGGTGATGTGGTGTAGCAGCTAGACACCTGTAGATCTGGGTTCAGATACTGGGGGAGCTGGATATTTTTCAGATATGACCTAGGCTACCAGGTCGGGACAGCCTTAAATGGATACCAGGTAAAGTCCAGGGAAGTAAAGGCCACCTATGTGTTGCTGACCACATCTCCTACTGTGTGCCAGTTGGTCTATAAAATATAGGTCTGCCCCCCTATATGCCCAGCACACAAGAAGACAATGAAGAGGGTCCTTTTCTCTAATACGAGGGTTGATTGTGTCGGCACTTCTTGGGCATTGAAGATTGCATGAGCTTGTTCATTTTAGCTACTTGCCCCTTGAACACGTTTCAAGGCACACTCTCGTAATGACAGTTGGCAGAGCAGCCACAGAAATGTGGAAGGTTCACAGGTACTTGTGAGAAATATGTGTCAGTGAGACAGGTAATTGTTTCTTGTGGATTAACACAGCCTAGGAAGGAAGACAGAGATGGTAGGGAATCATCATGAACTCAGGGGAAGGAGATTAAAAAGAAAGGGGCAAGAATCCTTAAAGAGCACCAGGCTAGAGGCTTTCATTGTAAAGAGTAAACTAGAATGCCATTGCACTGGAACCCACGGGGACTGGGGAAGAAAGACAGATCACACACAAAGGAAAAAAGCCACAAAGAGGTGAAGTGAAAATTAAAATATGGGGAGGACATTGGCTGAGCTACATGCAATAGCTTCTTCTTCTTCTTCTTCACATTCACTGACTGTTAACTCTGGCAGAAAATTCTAGTTGTTAGTCCACTTCTAGAGTTTGGTCTTGTTCAAGAACTTAAGTTTTGCATGCACGCCTGTTTTACAGATCTGGCTTATTTGTATGCAGACTGTTGGCTCCTCACCTCTCATGCAGATAGCTCAAACTTTAAAGGAAACAACCCTAATCAGTCGCCTTTTATGACTTGCTCTTTGGGGTGGGTCTGTTTTTGCGTCCCCCAAAATTGGGCCCCAGAACCCACACAGGGAGCACCCGATAGCAAAGAAAGTGACTTGGCTGAAGTGGGTTGGCAGCCTATGCTCCATTAGGAGATAATGACACAAGAAAATTATGTGTGTTGTTAATGATACAGTTTGTCCTTGCACTGTTTTTTGGCACTAAATCATGATCTGCTAACACTCCCACCAGATGGCGTTCCGTTACCTGTCTTGGTTGTTGTATCCCCTGCTGGGAATCTACGCTGTCTATTCCCTGGTCTATCAAGAACACAAGGGCTGGTACTCTTGGGTGCTGAATATGTTGTATGGGTTTCTTCTCACGTTTGGTAAGTGATGTTCAAAAGGTAATCTAGTAGGCCTGTTTCAGTTTACAAGGTACTAGGATGGTTCGAAATTTTTGTGTACCTTATATGGTCACCATTTCCAGGCATACAGAATCTCCTTTGTGGTCATCGGACCATGAAACTATCCGATGAACATGGGGCTGCAACTGCAAGAAATGCATATTTGACCACAGGGACAAGATATTTGATTATTTGGCACTGAACAGGTGTCAGCCGTCGTTTTATGTTTGTTGGGTTTTTAAGGAACGAATAAACGAACAAACAAACTTTATTTTCAAAGGGTTTTAAATTGGGCATGCAGGCCTGTCTTACATTCGGCCCTTCCAAACACCCACCTTTCACACAGCAGTTGTATTGTATCAATAAAGCACGTTATGATCATATAATACTATTCATATTATGAATATTAAGAAAAAACACAGAAGCATGGGTGGTAAAATGCATGAGCACACTCTTGCTTGTGAACACATGCACACGCACCCCCATTCACTCACTCACTTACACACCCACATACAGACATCCATATATACATTAATACACACACACAAATACACATGGATACATTCACACATATACATACATGCATACACTCACTGGAACATACATACATACACTCACTGGAACATACATACATACACTCACTGGAACATACATACAGGCAACCGTCCATACAGACACACATATACACACATGACACTCCCAGAAACAAACACAGAGAAGCACACATACACAGATACAGCCCCAGATATACAAACGCACACACAGACATGCACAGGCACAACACAGTTACATCATTTGGATGAATGTTGGAGACTGGAGGAAACTGGAGCACCTATGGATCTGTCTGGAGTGCTGTGCTGATAACCCTCACTAATCTCTGTGACACTGTGTGTGTCTTATTGTCACCAAGTAAAGGGGACCTAATATTCCTGATGGGGGGGAGGGATAATGCCCTTTTGTTCACTTTTATGTCTTAGTGAGAGAGATTTTATGGAAGTAAAGCAAAATGGTAACACTAAAGCAAATTCAGTACAGTGTTTATGTACCTGATGGTACAAGATGAAAGGCGATAAATTAGCTGATCAGCAAGCATATATACAAAACAACCAGATTTGCATTGATGGCACTGTTAGAAACAAGACGACAGATATGACACACTAGACAGCTTGACAGTATAAAGCTATAGTTATCAGGAATTGAACCTTTCACCTCCAGATGATGAAAGCGCCTCACTGGAGGAGCTTGTGTACTAAGATGCATGATCTACCAGGCATCCATTTAAAAAAAATAGTTTCTTCATTAGCCATGTCTGTGTTACACCTTGAACGCACAAATATGGAGTATGGACAGCATTTGTCCAAAACCATTGACATTATTTCTGGGATTCACAGTGTGGGTTCCAGGGCCCTATTATAGGGAAAACAAGAATAGACCCACTGCCTACCCTACCCAAACATGTCGGAAGAGGCGACTAATTGGTAGCTTCCTTTGAAATTGGAGTGCCTCTGCCTGAGAGGCAAGGAACCACCAGTCTGCACACAAATGAGTCAGATCTGTCAAACGAATGCACACGCAACACTCAGGTTCTGAAACAGGTCTGCATCCCAGAAGTGGACGGACAACCAGAACTTTCCGCCAGAGTTTAAAGCTGGTATACATGAAGAAATATATTATTTGTAATTTTTCATTTAGCACACAATAAAAATGTGCACAACTAAACCACGCTTCAACTCCTTAAAGCCCCTCCGACCCCCCCAAACATTTTATAGGAAGGGGGTCCAACAGGTTTAAGCCTTGATATATTGCACAATGTTATTACATGCTATTTTTATTACACACTTAAACAAGGTACGAGCTGGGGGGGGGGGGGGGGGGGGCTCCACTGACCATAGAGAAGTATACAACTGGATACGGATTTGAACCTACAATCTTTGGGTCCGAGGCGGAGATATAGGGTGTCCTTTAATGTTGTTGTCCTCAGGCAGGTCAAACGGGAGGTTCTTTCTATAAGGGGAATATGGGTCCAATTCTGTCATCACAAGGGCCATACACGACGAAGTAGAGGTGATTTCTGGGAACAGTAAGTCGGCTAGTGAGAGTACATGATGTGCTCTTGTGTTGCAGGGTTTATTATGATGACACCCCAGCTGTTCATCAACTATAAGCTGAAGTCTGTAGCCCATCTACCCTGGAGGATGCTGACCTACAAGGCACTTAACACCTTCATCGATGACATCTTTGCGTTTGTCATCCGGATGCCTACCTTGTACAGGCTGGGATGTCTCAGAGATGGTGAGTATCTGTCACTGCTGTCTGTTTGACCACATTTTAGGGCGGTGCTGTTAGGGGGGACATGAGTCTGAGGATTTAGGGCCGCATGGTTAGTGCTGTAGCCACCCACGGACTGTTCAGGTTCGGATGTCTAATTTTGCCCCCAACAGAAAAACTCCATCATTTTACCAGGTGTCGAACCCAGGTCATCCGCATGAGAGCCAAACAAAACAAAAGCTTTATAATCAGAGTGTAAAATAGCAACTAACAGTTTTTTCCCCTGAAAGATATAGGTATAAAGTTGTTTACTGTGAAGTTACAGAGCCTGCGTTTGCCATTTAGGGGAGAGGGGGGGGGGGATTAGGATTAGCCACTGCTTGCTGGTAACTTGGTTATAAATGGTGACTAATTTGGGGTTTGCAGAAATCTGTGTGTGTTTACCTGACAGGCACAGATGTCGCAGACTAGCTGTAGACCACAGCACTTCAAGCCTGCCGCCACCCTTGTGAGGGTGAATGCAGTGTAAGTTGACTTGACTGGTGTAGCTTTACTTGATTTTGTTTCTTGGAACACTGTAGTCAAGGTATTCTACTGTTGTCAAGGTGTTTTATTGTTGTCAAGGTATTTTATTGTTGTCAAGGTATTCTACTGTTGTCAAGGTGTTTTTTTATTGTCAAGGTATTTTATTGTTGTCAAGGTATTCTACTGTTGTCAAGGTGTTTTATTGTTGTCAAGGTATTCTACTGTTGTCAAGGTATTCTACTGTTGTCAAGGTACTCTACTGTAGTCAAGGTATTCTACTGTTGTCAAGGTACTCTACTGTAGTCAAGGTACTCTACTGTTGTCAAGGTACTCTACTGTAGTCAAGGTATTCTACTGTTGTCAAGGTATTCTACTGTTGTCAAGGTATTCTACTGTTGTCAAGGTATTCTACTGTTGTCAAGGTATTCTACTGTTGTCAAGGTACTCTACTGTAGTCAAGGTACTCTACTGTAGTCAAGGTACTCTACTGTAGTCAAGGTATTCTACTGTAGTCAAGGTATTCTACTGTAGTCAAAGTGTTCTACTGTAGTCAAGGTATTCTACTGTAGTCAAAGTGTTCTACTGTAGTCAAGGTATTCTCCTGTAGTCAAGGTATTCTACTGTAGTCAAGGTATTCTACTGTAGTCAAGGTATTCTACTGTAGTCAAGGTATTCTACTGTAGTCAAGGTATTCTCCTGTAGTCAAGGTATTCTACTGTAGTCAAGGTATTCTACTGTAGTCAAGGTACTCTACTGTAGTCAAGGTATTCTACTGTAGTCAAGGTATTCTCCTGTAGTCAAGGTACTCTACTGTAGTCAAGGTATTCTACTGTAGTCAAGGTATTCTCCTGTAGTCAAGGTATTCTACTGTAGTCAAGGTATTCTCCTGTAGTCAAGGTATTCTACTGTTGTCAAAGTGTTCTACTGTAGTCAAGGTATTCTACTGTAGTCAAGGTATTCTACTGTTGTCAAGGTATTCTACTGTTGTCAAGGTATTCTACTGTTGTCAAGGTACTCTACTGTAGTCAAGGTACTCTACTGTAGTCAAGGTATTCTACTGTAGTCAAGGTATTCTACTGTAGTCAAAGTGTTCTACTGTAGTCAAGGTATTCTACTGTAGTCAAAGTGTTCTACTGTAGTCAAGGTACTCTCCTGTAGTCAAGGTATTCTACTGTAGTCAAAGTGTTCTACTGTAGTCAAGGTACTCTCCTGTAGTCAAGGTATTCTACTGTAGTCAAAGTGTTCTACTGTAGTCAAGGTATTCTACTGTAGTCAAAGTGTTCTACTGTAGTCAAGGTACTCTCCTGTAGTCAAGGTATTCTACTGTAGTCAAAGTGTTCTACTGTAGTCAAGGTACTCTCCTGTAGTCAAGGTATTCTACTGTAGTCAAGGTATTCTACTGTAGTCAAGGTATTCTACTGTAGTCAAGGTACTCTACTGTAGTCAAGGTATTCTACTGTAGTCAAGGTATTCTCCTGTAGTCAAGGTATTCTACTGTAGTCAAGGTATTCTACTGTAGTCAAGGTACTCTACTGTAGTCAAGGTATTCTACTGTAGTCAAGGTATTCTCCTGTAGTCAAAGTGTTCTACTGTAGTCAAGGTACTCTCCTGTAGTCAAGGTATTCTACTGTAGTCAAAGTGTTCTACTGTAGTCAAGGTACTCTCCTGTAGTCAAGGTATTCTACTGTAGTCAAGGTATTCTACTGTAGTCAAGGTATTCTACTGTAGTCAAGGTACTCTACTGTAGTCAAGGTATTCTACTGTAGTCAAGGTATTCTCCTGTAGTCAAGGTATTCTACTGTAGTCAAGGTATTCTACTGTAGTCAAGGTACTCTACTGTAGTCAAGGTATTCTACTGTAGTCAAGGTATTCTCCTGTAGTCAAGGTATTCTACTGTAGTCAAGGTATTCTACTGTTGTCAAAGTGTTCTACTGTAGTCAAGGTTTTCTCCTGGTCACTGCCAAAAACAGTGTTCCTTTTATTTGATTTTAGTGATTTGTTCATTTTGAAATTCAGAGTTGGGCTAAAAACAGTTTGGCAATTTATGTATTGGGTGTAGACTGGGCATCAGTCAGCAATATGTCTTCTAGGCACAAGCAATTTGAAAAAAGGAAAAAAAAAATCATTAAAGGACAACAGGTTGTCTATTTTGAGCAACTGTTGATAAAGACATTGGGTCTTGTGCATGTTGCTTATGTTTATAAACAATTCTTGGCAGCCTTCATGTAAAAGAGTAGGTTGAGTTGTTGACTACCTTGAAAAGGCAGTGAGACCTGAAATATTTGCCTCACCTTATACAGGTCTGTGTGCCAAATCCTTGACTTTTGGAAATAAAGTCAAGTCTCTTACCTGGTTACACTCAAGAAGGCTAACCCAGAAAACAAATACCTGAAGAAGCCAGATGTGTTAGCCGAAAAGTGCTATATTGTGGCAATGCTGTAACAGGCACAACACAATGACATCACTTGGATGAACAGTGAAGAAGAAATGCTCATCTTTTATGCCATGAATACTAAACTACATTAACACAAAAAGTAGTTAGATAACATAAATGACAATTTGACCTTGCGAGAAGAGTCGAGTGCCTACTTGGATGGTGCTGAGAAGGAAGGAGAGCTCCCTTCTGATAAAACATCAGGGATCTGAAATTCTTGTATTTGTTTCCCTTTCCTTATTCTGTCTCTCTACCTCACTTGGATCTGTCGTCCCCATGTGGAATGCAATTTTGAGTTATTTTGAAGCCCCAGGGGCCCTAAATATAGCAGGGTCTAAAATATGGCCTAACGGCTGAACAAGGTTTCCGGGACCTCTCCCCGGGTGATCCTCATCCGCATGGCGGCACTTTGTGTCACCGGGTGTTTATCGCTTGTGTGTTGTCCTGGTGGGGTAGAGAATACATAGCATACATACATACATACTTGGATCTGCTTGAGCCTTAGAAGTTCTAGCATGCGAGTCATATTCCAAACAAACATCGTATACCAAGCAACATTTTTGTTGCATCTGAACAGGGTGCATACCAAGTTGGGCTTATTAGAAAGCAAATGTATATTGGGGTACCACTGTGTTTCAGAAATAACAGCAACGTGATTTATCAGAAATATCCTAACCTGATGATCAGGCAGTTAACTTTATCAATATGCTATTTTTTTCTTCTCTGCAGATGTGATATTTTTTATCTACCTGTACCAACGCTACATCTACTCTGTCGACCCCAAGAGAATGAATGAATTTGGAACCAGTCAAGAAATGCTGGAGAGTAATGGAACTGCAGTGACCCAGGGGGAGGAGCAACAGTCCGTAAAAGCTATTACAGAAGGGGCAGGGGAGGAAACTACAACAGAGGATGACAGCGATGAGAAAAAAGAGGTGGAGAAAACAGACGAGGACGAGGAGGTGGCGAGGACTCAGGAGGCGGTGAATGGATTGGTGAAGAAGCCGACAGAAAAGAAGAATGATTAGTTGATGTTTGCCATGGAGAAATTCTCTGTACTATATATTTTATGTGCTTGTCTTTGGTAGAGTGCTATGCTGTTGTTCCCCCCTTCCCCCCGTTAGGTTAAGTTGGTTTCGTTTCTGTGTAAGGAAAAACCATTACATGCAACTTTGAGATAGTTATTGCTTCTGTGGGAGGTGAACCAACAGATATACAGTGGTGACCAAAAGTAAATGAATATTTCCATACTATTACAGAGTTGTGCATCAGCTGCTATTTTAGGGCACACTAAATAAATGCAATCATTGTAATGTACTGCATGATCGTTTCACTGTAAACTGCGAGAACACCTGCTGTTGTTGTTTTCAGCCTCTTTGTTTGTTTCAGAGGTATTATCCTTGGATTTTTGTGTTTAAAAAAAAATAAAATAAAAAATACTTTGTCATTCAATGAGCTGCAGTAGTAACATTACATGGCTCTGTTGGTCACCGCTCGACATGTCAACTTGAGGTCGAGTTGGTTTTCTGTTGGTCACCGCTCGACATGTCAACTTGAGGTCGAGTTGGTTTTCTGTTGGAAGTAAACCAACATATACCACCTTGTGGTTGAGTTGGTTTTCTGTTGGAAGTAAACTAACATATACCACCTTGTGGTTGAGTTGGTTTTCTGTTGGAAGTAAACTAACATATACCACCTTGTGGTTGAGTTGGTTTTCTGTTGAAAGTGAACCAACATATACCACCTTGTGGTTGAGTTGGTTTTCTGTTGAAAGTGAACCAACATATACCACCTTGTGGTTGAGTTGGTTTTCTGTTGGAAGTAAACTAACATATACCCCCTTGTGGTTGAGTTGGTTTTCTGTTGAGAGTGAACCAACATATACCACCTTGTGGTCGAGTTGGTTTTCTGTTGGAAGTGAACCAACATATACCACCTTGTGGTTGAGTTGGTTTTCTGTTGGAAGTAAACTAACATATACCACCTTGTGGTTGAGTTGGTTTTCTGTTGAAAGTGAACCAACATATACCAACTTGTGGTTGAGTTGGTTTTCTGTTGAAAGTGA